TATAACCTCCAAGTTCGCAGAAATTCAGCGATTCGCACCAGCTGAATGTTCATCATACTTTTTTCCCTACCTTCTTTCCCAATGACCTTAAAATTCTTCGTGATTGTTTTTTTTCCCACCGCGAGAGTTTTCTTTTCACCGTCACTGAAATATCAGTCAGACTCAGAGTGTGTGTGTCTTGGCATGATTTCTTTGCCGTCGATCACAATATGCAAAAATACTCTGTCGGCATGTCATTTTGTGTCATGCGGTAGAGATAAGACCTTAAAATATGAAATGCGCGAATAATCGATGATCATCACTCTTGTTGCTTCGAAAAAAGGTATAAACCATGGCATTTCTATTGGAACTGTTGGTTTTCTGTTTCGCGCACAATTCATTGGCACCATGATGAACGTGTATCGCACAAATCCATTAACCGCTACTTAGAGTTAGAGAATTATCCACACTTTCGAAAAGGGAAATCAATTTCACAGCCTTAAATTTCAATTCGTCGTCAAATTTGTGCGCTGGATTCACTTCAACACATACACGTTCAGTCTCGGTGAATGTGTTCGCTGTATTCAATGGTCCAAAGAAGATACAATGGTCCAAAATGTGTTTTCGAGAATTCTTCTTTGTTTTCTGTTATTTGCCAACGATAATAATTGTTCAATGGCATTAAAAATAATTGCTACACAACAAATCAAAGCCTGATTGACACCCAGGCACACAAATGGCCATAGCAACACATATATATTCTATATAGAATCAATAAAGGCAATGACGATGCGCGACGTTTTCATATAGAAAAAAAAATTATGCAATTCTCTTCGCTCAATTGGCAATTATCGCTTGCTGTGGGTTTTATTCTTGGTCGTTAGCATTAAAACTCACCGAACAACATCGCATAAAAGAACATTAAATTAATTAAATGCCCACATTACTTCTGCAGCATCGTTAAAATTCATTGTGCGTCGTTCTTCGTTTTTATGTGTGGGGGACGGGGAAGTATTGCGGTTTGATCACGGTATATTCACCGTTCAGGGAGAGAGAGAGAATAGAGAAGAAGATGTGTTAACAAACATTTCGGATACAATGTGACTTTCACTCGTAAAAGTTGCACTCTTGTGCAAGCGTCCGTAGCAAATGCACAAATTATACCGTGAATATTCAATGTTCGTTCGACTGTGCCAACCGAAACACATAGAGACCAATGAAAGAATAACACGTTACTTGTGTGTTTCTCTTTCTCTGGTTTTGAGTTCGATAATAATTTTTTGAACTTTCTGAAGTGTGTATGTGTTTGTGTTTTTGTGAAATGTGAACTTCGCTTTTTGGCTTGGTTCTTCTGCATTTGTGCAATTTATTCAGACTATTTAAGCCGACGCCAATTAAATTCTCTAGGGAAAGAATAACTTCCAATAAACTTGAAAGAAAGTAATGCTGCAGTTGGCTTCTCAGTCTTATTTTTCGTTTTGTTTAAATTCATCCGATTTTGTTTGCACGTACGACTTGCGCTGACTCAAATCGCCTGGCATCGAAAACAAATCGCATTTTGCTTTCCAATTGTATTTTTAGCACTACATGAAATGTAGAGCTACTATCTAGAGCTTTCTTTTTTTGTCTTAATAACTTAATACTTCTTGAGTACTGAAACAAATTATGGTGAATTTGAATTTTATGCTCATATTTTTTATTTAATTTAAGACAGTTGCAGTAACGACAAATAATAGCATAATATCTCAAAGCGCCAATCAAATTTTTATGATAAAATGTTTTTTTTTTAAATACATTATTTAAATCTTTTTTCGTACAGTATTTTCTGGGTCTTGAACAGAATTAAAGTGACTTCAGATCTATGCTCATATTATTTATTTGATTTTAACCAAAGGCAGTATATTTCAAAAAAGAAATGAAACCAAGATCTTGTAATTCATTTTTGAAATAACTGAGATTTTTTTTTGTACTTTGTTGCAAATAAATATATTATTTCAAAGATATTTTGATGAAATACATTTCATGTAGTGCGTCAAAAAATGGTTTGTTGTGAAACAACAAAATAGAATAAGTAACTATAATCTCAAGAACAGAGCGGAGCGAAGCGACGCTCTGCGGTCTTGTTTTCCTTCTGCAGATTTCACAGATTTGATTTTTCACGTTCTGGTAACGCTTCATTCGATTCATTCAGCACTGCAATCGCAAATGCATGTTTTGAATATCTCTCGGTCAGCATTTAAAATCAACTCGTTTTTTTTCTGATGTTCGTTTGATGTTATTGAATTCGATACACACCGAAAAAAATGCATACTTTCGAATCAATGCTTGTTATCCATATAGAATTTTTTCCCTTCGTTTGAATAATAAACAAATATCGGATGAATGGTTGAGGTTCATTGCGGCTGGAAGGCGCTGCCAAAGAAGTGGTACAGCTTTGGTCAAACATTTATAGCCGCTCAATTATATCCAATGCGATATGAATTGATATTCTATTGAAGAAATTTATGAATTGGATATTGTGCCCAGCATTTAGAAATCACAGGCGCAATATGGACGATCCTTAAGTGGCAATAAATTGAATCGTTGACATTTTCTTTCATTTCAATTCGAAAGAGTTTCTTTTCTCGGAAAAAACAAACTTGATCCCCAAAATTAGCGATGGAAATCTTCATCATTCGAGCGGCATTTTTCAAACGCAAACGAAATCGAAAGCCATTTTCACTTTTCGTCTTTTAATTACTTGACAAGCCATAACAACTGTTGCTCGTAAACCGTATTTTTTCCCAAAAATTATTTAGAATTCCTTTTTCGGGCTCGTCGTGTTCACTTTCAAAAATCGTTCATTCTCGAACTTTCATTTGTGAATTTGGCAATAAATGCTGCGGCAATTTTATTGTTCTGCATGAGACCGAAAATTAAGTTACAAAATCAAGAAAAAAGACAAAAGCTACGCAAGAGCATCGTATAACAAAAGAGAAAATGTTGAGGCGATAATATGTGAATAAAAATAATCTCTCTCAATTAAAAACAAAATAACAAAACAAAAATAAAGAAAATTTCTACCATTACGATGCCAGTTTCCATAGCCATGATCAGTGTATTCATTTGCATAAAATGGATTTCGAAAACTCAATAATCAAGATTAACTCGTTCGCCTGCTAATCAACACTGAATCTGCTAACGAAACGGCTACTTAAAAATTATTAACTAGATCTTGAATTTGAATGCAGTGCGATAATTGTATGTGTTTCGCTTTCGTTATTTTAAAATGGTTGGTGTCGTGCAGCGATTTCACGGAAATGCGTAGAAACGCCACTGACAAAAACTGTCTAATAATATAAAAAGAGTGACATTTTAGCAGAAGTTGCGGTGTGATTTTCAAAACGGTAAAGTTGTCGAGCGTCGACATTTTCGATACACACGACCTGAAAACAAAGGGACCGACGCGCGAGCAAGCAGTCACACTTTTTAACATGCTTCCCTCTAATTCAATGAAGCACTCAGGCAATGCCATTTTGACGAAGAGGTTCGCAACCTTTTAATTTCATTATATTTCAAATTACGTTATTGTTCACTACATGTCGGTGCGTGGTGGCTTCGGCGCCAGGTGAAAATGAGAATCGTAATCTGTCACTGATCGATTCTGTGTTGTTGCCGCTGCCGTTCGCTCTAGCCACACAATTTTTTCTTCTTCTTTCATTTTCAATTATATTTCTCTTGCGGTTTTTCGTGCTGTTCTCGCGTTTGTTTCGTGATCGCATGTGATTACACTCAAATGATTTATTGCAAATGCTTTATGTTCATTTTGACAAATTTTTGCGGTTCGAATTCACACACGCCATTTCGTGTGGTGTGCTACCAGGAATAAATGGTAGAAAACGAAGACCAAAAAATAGTGTGCATGAATTTCTCTTTTAACCGTGAGGAAGCGTATGATCTTGAAAGCGATCATTTCAATCAATGACTTGCGCCCGTGTGTACGTGATTGGCAATTTTCAACGAAAGCAATTAATAGAATTTGAAATTTTCGCTTTGTATTTTATTGTTTTGTTGTTCGAAAGAGCGGAAAAAAGCAACACAAAATTGACTGTTTTGAAGCGTGTTTTTAGCAATAATTAAATATCCTTTGGGCAACGTGGGAAATCAAATGCAAAAGATCACACATCAAGCGAGCCGGGTCATCGCCGACATTACACCGTTGTTTTGGTGCACACAGTAGTTAAACAAACGTTCTTCTCACGTTATTCGCATTAACGATAAGCGCACACGAAAAAGATTCATTTGAAGTTAATTGGGTTACGCCAGTCATGAAATATGCAGATGGATTTGCCACTCGGCACATGAATGCAATAAATCGATAAGTTTTTCAGTGCACAACTACCGCTAGTCAGAAATGAACCACCGTTTGTACCGTTCGTCTTGCATGTCGATCGTGTGATTTTCTGTTTACATTAACCGTCTCAAACTCAAAACACTTCTCTTTGTTTTGTCGACTCGACTCGACTCGACTTGAATCGACCGATGCATGCTGCATCAATTAATCATTTCAGCAAACTGAAGTCAAGAAGAAGAAGAAGCGAAAAAACATTCCGGCACATTATTATTATTATAATCGTGTTATATAGGTTTTCAAGCCACTTTCCTTGTATTTAAACTTTTCAATAATAATCAAGATTGAACTTGAAATGATTTATCGCGACTGATTGGTTACCATACACAGCACGTGTACTGTGGAAGTGTGTGCGCTCGCTTAATACGTAGGTGTAACAAGTTCGATGAATTTGAAGAGTGGTATTACTTCCTTTCGCCACAGTTGGCACAAAACTCGTACACAAATTCCTTTCTTTTTGATAAGTTTTTTTTCGATATTTACATACGGCTTTTCCTATTTCAAAAGCAAATCAGCACACTTCACATCGTTTATATGGGTTTTTCGCCCACATACACTTCGATTTATAAGCCAATGAGTTTTAATAAAAAAAAACTAATTAGGTTTTTTTCACTCTATCTTTCTTTTGCAGCCACAATCAATAAAGCCGACTAAATATCACTTTTATCCTCATAATCAACATATTTACGTATTGCCCGAGTGCGCCATTCAACAGGTAAATGAATTTAATGGAGGAAAAAATGAGTTTATTGAACATTTTATTAGTAAAAGTAAATTGCAATGAAGAAAAAACCGATGATGACGCGAATTAATTAGAAAAGCACATAAAGATATCACATTTACGAGTGAAGGCCAGTAAAACTCCAACCAGCCGAAAAAATAGCAATAGTAAGTTGAGGGACAAGAGTCAAATCGTTCCTGAAGATTCGCCACTCATTCATGTGCCCGAATTGGGCTATCGCCGGAAAATCAGCGAACAAAATTCATGACAGAATTCATGCTCACGGCAAAAAGCCGTGAACAAAGCAGTGAAGCCAGAAAAACAGTTAACATAAACCGAAAACGGAGCAAAAACTAATGTGACCCAATCGAAAATAATACACATATTCCATTGACGAATTTAAACTAGTTTATGCCATAGAATAAACGAATGCGATTACATGAACCGAGGCCCGCAAAAATTGTTTTGAATATATGGCACGCAGCAGCAGCACGATGATATTGGAGGAAGAGTGAAAAAAAGCGGCGCCATTTTACTTTCATTTCAAACGCAAAAAATATATAGAGAAATTCCCATATCAACAATCTATCATTAGAGCCAAACGAAATATTATTTCTATCTGATGCGATACGATACGGTGCGGTGAAATTGAAGAAGGTCAATATCAATTGAACTTTGCCTCGAAAAATGATATGACTGAAAATTGGCTAAATTGAATCTGTGTAAGTTTCAAATTGCACGCTCGCGTTTGCGCTCGACCTGATTCAATCACTATTGTGCGGCCAATTGCAGCAGAAAATTGATAGACCGGGAGAAGAAAAACCCGGCAACTACAATGATGAAGAGGTAACAACAAAGCAGAAAATGAAGAAAATCAATTTCGGACCGGTGCTCACTGTTCTATATATTTATGGTGTTGATAATAACAATAATAACAGAATAATGTTCCCTTATGAACAAAGCAAAAAACACGGGAGAGAAAAAAAATAGTTCATGTCAAACACCAAAAAGCCAATGCTTATTCGGGCATCGCAAGTGTTATTCATAAAGACACTAAAACAATAAAAAACATCAATTTCAAACTAGCAATTTGTCGTGGTGTGTATGTGCTGTTAATGTCCGTGAGATGAAATCACTTTTTACGATGTCTTTTGTGTTGACCGCTGATTCGATTTTTCGCTCGAGGTGGCTCGCAACAACAACAACAACAACGAGAGCTCCAGCAACAGCAATTGCCGAGAAGATGACAAGGCTCGAGCTAGAGCAACCAGCCGTTAATATAAATGTGATAAAAGCAAAAAAAAAAACACCTCGGCGATATGGGTCTTGATTTTAATCTAAATAAGCACTTTTTATTGCTCCGATTCTGAAAAGCACACATCCACCAAAAACATAAATTGCAGTGCAACGATTTGTGCCAGGTATTTTAGAATGATTCTTCATTTTGTTGGAATTTTGTATGCGGAAATGTGGCCAATCGATCGTTAAATGGACTTTTATAATTTCGTTCGATTTACTGCATATTTGCACTGGCATCGCATCAAAGACCATCGTTTTTACAGTGTACTGAATCAAGTCATTCGCCATTCGAATTTGAAATGTGGACGACGGCAACAACAAGACGATGGAGACGACGACGATTTGATTTGCTGGATCGGATTACGATTTGAGTGGCCGGCGATCGTAAATTGTGATTGGGTGCGGCGCGCCGGTGTATTTTGCATTTCCGTCCATTTGATTTAGATTTGATACTTTTTGTGATTGCATTTCTCTCTCTCTCTCTCTCTCTCTCTCTGTTTCTCTCTCGCGTTTTTTTTCTATTATTTTCAATTTTATTCAACTGAAATGTTTTGTTCTTCTTATTCTTAACGATATATGTTTTTTTTCTTTTTCCTACTCCGCTTCAACACGCAGGTATGCAACGCTGTTTACGTGAGACTCAACTATACGCAACCATTATGCGCGTGTCCATCCAGGTAAAAAAAAGATTACGTATTTTTTTCTAATTTACATGAGTAAGATGCATGCTTTTCTTTTCACTGATCGATCGTTGCCCGGACTCGATTCGTTTCGTTTGTTTGTTTGTGTATGATTTGAAACAGAAGATAATCACGTTTTTGATTTGAATCAATGTTCTCGTCGAATTGGAGTAGGAAATAAAGAAATAACAACAACAACGCACAAATTGAAGTTAGATGGAATTCGTTTGCTACATTGGAAAATTGGCATAATAGCTTTGGCTGTTTTCTGTGTGCAATCGAACGATCGTGGCCGCTTCATTTGCAATTCGTGTGCAATTGGCGTGCATACGAGAACGATCGAACGATCGATTGCATTCGATTTTTTATGTCGGTTTGTCAAAGCCAACATAAAACTTCAAGCAATTAGTGTCATAATGCCTTTATCTGCTTTATCTATTCTCTCATTGAATCCAAAGTGCTGTTTATTTTGTTGTTGCTGTTGTTGATTTTTCCAAAACCGAAATCACTCACAGATTTCTTTACACGATCACATTGCTCATCGCCTACACGACGTGCATACAAATAGAGACGAGCAAAAAATAAAAATAAAACACTTTTCAATAGAAAACTTGATCTTTCCCGTTTGCAAATCCAGCTTGCAATCAATAAAACGGTGTTAGTTCCAGTAATAAATCGTTCGAAACTAAATTTTTGGCATCGCAAAACACACACACAACAAGCGCGAGTAAAGACAATTCAAAATTTTCAAATGCCAAAAGGCAATTAATTTCAAAAACTTTCATTCTATGGAGAGTGCGCGCTATGAAACCGGTGGAATCTGTTTCCTTTTTTATAAGTCTATTGTACCACTTGGGCGGAATATATATATATATATATATATTGATTTCTTTCAAGAGGTTAGTGTTTTTTCACTTTTGTCTTGGGATCGGAACATTTCTTGACGTGACAGATCTGGTTCAATATGGACTGCGTGATCATTTTACCATTACTTGTTGCGAGATCGTGTGAAATACACAAAACCAAAGAACGCCACTTCTTCAATCAATTCTTTTTTTCTCTCGATCTAACAGTGGTCTCTATTTATTGTTACGGTCTTTTGTGATATAAATTATGATGTTTATTTTGTGACCTGATGGTAATTTTGCAGTTGGTCGTTGTATTTCTTTTTCCTTCATTCTGTATTCATATTTTCTGTTGATTTCTAAATTCCAGATATCGCGATCCATGTTCGGCCAGTATTGACGAGGATGATTTGCATACGACGAAATTGATTGGCGACCCGCAAAAGCGGGTAAGTACTGTATACTAAATATAAACCAGGAAACAACGTGACTCTTTTCTTTTTGCTGCAAATTAACTTCGCCTCCAGTCCGCAATTTCGAAATGTGGTTCACTTTGCAAAATCATTGCGGCAGCAAGACAACGTTGACAAGACAAAATCAAAATCGTGCCAAACGAGAGAAAAAAATCGCAGAAACACACACACACAATTTGGCCGCAGACACGTTAAGACATTCTGGGCGCTATGCACTAAAAAAAATTGATGCAGCTTTCATGTCACTTTTCTGTGTGATTTGGAGTAAATGCATCGCATTGATGATACGAGAGGCAGAGAGAGAAGGAGAAAGGGAGGGAAAAGAAGAAGTGAAACGCAGTAAACGATCGATATAAAAGAGAGCTTAATAAATTGCTAGATTTTGAGCCGTTCATTATGGAAACGATTGTCGAATGAAAGCAAAGACAACCAGCCAGCCAGCAACGCGCAGAATTGTAAAGAAAGCACAAATCAGATTCTACGATGCGAGAACACAGAATTATTTCAAGAGAATCATAATTTAGTTTATCAAATTCATCATCGTTAGCCGTGTAATGACTACGTACCTACACAATTTTCTATCTTTATTACACGCTTTTTGTTGCCATCAGTTTTCATTGTTAGATCATCATTATCGTGCGCTAAAGTGCGCTCTCGATTCTGTGTCTCATCAGTGCAATCGCAGTGCAATGCGGAGCAAGCCGTAACAACGCGCCATTCATCGACATTGTTGCAATTCGCTCATTCGCTCGTTTTGATCGTTTGCAGAGACACAGCCAGCGTTAGGCTGATAGTAAGAGACTTCGACAGTCGTCGAATGGAAATGGCAATATAGAAAAATGATGTTTTCGGCTCTGTCCTAAAGATTTGTGTAGCTTATGAATTGTTGTGCATATTGCAATATGCATTCATGTTATATATGCTTTATTTTCCCGCTCAATAAACAAATCTTGTGAATTTTTCTATCGCTTTTACTGTTGTTCAGCACTCTGGTTCATTTTATTCTTCTCTCTCTCTCGTCTGTTTTGTTGCAAATGTTGGGAAAACAGCACAAACACGTGCATATTCGTACGTGTAATTTATACATTTTCATCGAGAAGCTGAATAAAAGTAATCAAGCAATGATAAGATTTAGGTCATACACATAAATACAGAGTAAATATTTTGAAGAAAAAAAAAGCAAGCACACACACACACACACACAGCTTTTTGACGGTGGAGCAGCGGAATAGATGAAACATAAAATCACGTCAGCTAAACACAACAAAAAAAGAAGAAGAAAAAAAACAGAACATCTCGAACATTGAATTGTTTCGAGCGCTGCTTCTCAATAAGTTCCCATTTTTTTCTATGTCTACATACACTCTTGAGCTCGTACAAACAAAATATGCACAGATATTAACAGCAAGAAAACGGAGAGAACAACAACGATGAAAAAAAAGTAGACACAGAAAAACAGAGCCATAGACGAAAAACGATGTAGAAAGAAAAATGGTTTTTCTTTTTGTTTTATTTTGTTTAAATTCAAGTGTACTGAATAAATATGCCGCCAGAGTTGTGGTTGTGTGGTTTTTTCTTTTGTTTGTTGCTGTTGCTGTATCGGCTGGCGTCCTGTATTATTTTCTCTCGTCTCTTACATTACGATTACATATAACACATAAAACGTAATACAAGTAGCAATTCATTAGGTCATGAGTTAGTTTTGGAATAAAATGAAAAGGTTAAAAAACTACGCCTTTGTCGACACACAGCCGTATATCGATACATAAACGTGTGGCGTGTTCGATTTTTTTCTGTTCGTTTGGCCTCAGAACATTTATGTATAGCGTCAGTGACGATGAAACAATGGACCGTTCAATGGATGTGATAAATTGAAAATTCGACAGCTTTTTATGTGCTTTGACAGTATGATGCCATTTTCAATTTTCGCTTTTTTCTGTGTCAGGCTATCACATTGGCGAAAACATGCGAGGCGACAACCGAAATGAGGGAATGCCGTACACCACGAGACTGGTCGTTGTTGGCATTGCAGAATATTCGAACGGGGAAATCACACTATTTGGTGATTTGCAAGTGTCCAGACGCCTATAATTTGGGTGAGTTTAAGCGTTGATCACTTTTTCAATCTTACAAAATTGTCAATGTTTCAAAATTCAAGTGAAAAATGAGGATTTTTCCATTTTTTCTTCTTAAATCCCATCGAGAAATTTTATTTTTTATCATAAAATACAAAAACTGTTTCGTTTTTTCTTCCAAAAAAACTCAAACAGAGGGTCCAATGGCGCACGATCAGCCAACGTATGCAAGTGTTCCGGGAATCCGTGTATTTGGAATGATGTGTGTGAAACCGACGGGTGAGGTGAACACTAGTTTGCACATTCAACGGCCAGTTCCACCAAAGCGCAATCAATACTTCCAATCGCAAACATCGTACTACAATCGATTCAAGAAGCATACACTCTCCAAGCTATCGGCGCAACAAAAAACAAACGAAAATGGTGCAAATCTTTCGACTCAATCGTTTGATTCGGCCGATTTCACCACCCGAGGAATCAGTATAATTCCATCAAATTCGGAGACTCGAGAGGATGTATCGAATGAAAGTTCGCAAGAAGCAGCAACAGAAGAAGAAGAGGAAGTTCCATCGAGTACATTCGATGCATCGTCCAGTTCGTATAGTACAACATTTTCATCGACGGATAGTGTACCAACGGAACCAGCCACCGAGACATCAAGTCGAAAGAAACGGGACACTGGCGACGGCAGCAATGTGACCGACGAAAGTGCAATGTTCGAATCAAATAGTCGAAGCAAACGTGATGATTGGCCAGACATTCCATGGGATGAGATTAGCCAACAAATCAAAGACATTCAATGGGACTAAACATCAATGCCGATCCGGAGAGTAAACAAAAAACATTGATCTGAACTGAATGTCGCTGTGTTCACCATCGAATTTTCGCAAGAACAATACAATTTTTTTTAAATTATGCTAAACAAATCATGGCAATGAAGACGAACGATTCTAGACACTTGAACATGACAAAATAAAAGACTATTCACACAAGGAAAATGCCATCCACACATTTCTCCTCTCCCTATCCGCCACCACTGTCGCCGTCGCCACGTCGTCATTTTACGCAATTCATACGTTGTGTGTTTTAAACAGAAGAATCAAAAACAATTTTCAATACTACAAATTGCTAACGAAAAACAAAAACAATTTAATGGTTTGGAAACAACAATTAAAAATTATGAAATCATCAAAAAAAAAATCAACTTAATTTTAGTTATTTTAAAACGAAAAAGAAGCGAGTCTCGAAAATATACACACACTTTCGAATCGTAGACTACAAACAATTTTTTTTTTTTCAGAAGTATTATCAACACGCATTCACACATATACACTCAAACTAACCGATAAATTTGTGTAACAGTTTCTATATTAAGGACTAATTTATATTAATTTATTTTAAAATTAATTTTCGATTTAGGCGATTTTGTTTTTAAAATGATGATTATGATGATGATGATACAAGTAGAAGCAGAGCAAAAATCAACATGAAATACGTGGAACGATGATTTAAAAATACAATTTAAGTTTTAAATTCATAAGATCGATTCTTTTATGCATATAACGTCTTCTTTAATAAAACGGCAAACTGAAAAAGCCTGAGTTAATTTTCGGATTTGCAGTACAATGGAATTGGATGGATTGTGTTTTGATTGATTCAGCAGAATAGGTGAAATGGAAAAATAGAACGAAAAAGGTGGGAAGAAGAAGGTAAAAATTGTCAACTTACCCAACACTTCATTTGAAACTACGATTGAGCAGCTGTACATTGGAGTGACGAGGCGTTGTGGTTGATTTTGGAACGCTTCCCGACACGTGTCTTTTATTATGGATATCAGTTGACCTGTCGAGGCATCAAAATACAAAATTTGATCAATTTATCTTGACTTCTCTCATCATCATCAAACGAGTTGACATTTCAAAAATGAATATTAAAACGGAATATATTGCCCAGATCAGTCTTTAAAAAGTACTAAAATCACTTTATATTCGGCACCTAACCCAACCATACTCACCGGCAACTGATCCAATTGACAAACTTGATTCGTCAGTTTTGACAGCCCATTCTTCGATTAAAAAGCAAACACCGTGCATTGGTTCTTCGCACAATGGTCCAGATAAAGTAGCTAATTGATAGCCGTTCAACAATGAATTTTCTAAGTCACATCTTGGATCTCGTTCGTCTCCGGCATTTTCCTTGTTCGTTCCTTCAAAACCACTCCACACATTTTGATGTTTGAAGTCGGTCAAATTGACCAAAAGGTTCGTTCCACACTTTTTTGGTCCAAACGCCCAAATGCGATCGATTAAATCATTCCGTTGAAAGACTTCGTGTTGTTTGTTATTCTCTTTGAATGCCGATGTAATCTGTTCCCTGAATTCTTTTAGTCGAATTTTCGAACGATCTGATAAATCGGTGACATGTGTGGCTGATTTCAAGAGCTCGTAACTTGTTTCAAGCAGATCGGTAACGGCTTTGGGCAATGGAATTACCAGCATTTTCAAACGTTGATTTGCCGTTTGAACTGTAACACTTTTATCGGCTTTCTTTTCTTCGGCAGTCAGAACGATTTCCTCATTGACCATGTCAATTTTCGCCTGCGGCACAATTGTCTCGCGCAACGGAACGATTGGCAGTGACACATTCACGGGACATTTTGCATATTCACGTTCCAAATCGTAGATGCATCGCTCCAAATGAATTTCACCCAATGTGACCAACACATGTTCGCCATTCTCCTGAACAATCACCTGAACACAGGCATCGGCTTGGTTCAGTAATTTCAACCCCTTTTTCAACTTCGGCAAGTCGGCAATACTCTTCGGTTCAACAGCAACACGATAAATTGGCGTTGCCATTATGGTGAGGTCACAAAACGACGAACAGAATGGATTGTTCGATAGCGTAGCCGTTTTAAGTACATGATCTTGCAAACCTTTGATTCCAACGATATTTCCAGCAGGTGCTTCTTCAAGCTCTTCCAACTCTTTGCCCATTAATAAATACAAATTTTCAACTGTAACTTCTTTAACGTAGGGCGACTCCGTTGCATTAGCCAAACTGAAATAAAACCAATTATAAAAATGTTTCGAAAAAAAAATTGATTCTAATTAGAAAATGTGCACTCACTCGATAATCGAATTGGGATCGTGTTTGGGTGTCATTGCATAAATTTTTGAGCCTTTCTTCAATGTTCCACTGTAGACACGAGCAAATGCAATGAAAATGTTGTTTTCCTCCACTTTGGCCACTTCTTCTGGCTTTTCTTTATTTTCTCCAGGTTTCTCTTCCTGTTCACTGTCATTCGAATTGGTCTCGTCCAAATAAACTCCGGCTAATTTTGCTTCCAATTCTTCATTTCGCTGCTGTAGTCTCTGCCTCGCCAAATCTCGTCTTCTTTCGATTTGTTCTCGGGTAAGGGGTTTCGGTTTGTTTTCAGGTAAAATGGATTTGTCGACGGGAATCATTTTCGAAATGAAGGCAATCACAGTTTTACTCTCGGCATTTGAATTCATAAACTCAGATTTTAGTGCTTGTGTCTGGGCTGGAAGCGCTTCGAAGTTTTGATTTAGCGAGCACATTAATTGTGTGGCTTTTTCATCGGTTATTTTACCCGGGTGCGGACACATACGTACAACCATTTCAAGAAGTGTTCGTTCGACTGGTAACCATTGTGAGAATATCGTTTGAATGTGCACCTTTGGATCGGTGGAGCGTAGATCTCGTGTTGTTACTTTGACACCCAATTTTTCAGCAATGCTCGGAATCTTCTCTTTATCCTTTCGCACTGCAATCATTTCGTACAAGCTCCAAATGTTCTCCAAAACAAATTGCACAAACATTGGCTTCTTTGCCTTCTCTTGGGCACCTTTTGACCATTCCTGCTTTTTGGTGTTGTAGTAATAGTCACCCCACAATACTTGCTCCAATTTATCCACGGGAATATTCAATTTACTCGCGTATAATTCAGCAAAATCACGCACACGAAACGCCCAACCGTCAATGGCCGAGGAGAATATTACATTTCCACTTTCAGGTGTGAAATAAATTGAGGAATCATCACAATCTTCCAAAGCGGACACATGATCGGTCTGGAATTCAAGAGAAAATGGTTCAATTTCAATTTATGGAAATAAAAAGAAGGAAGAATTAAAATCAAATAAACGATCGTTAAATTAATCTGTTACTCACATTACTGGTTTTAACTTCCTTGAGCAACACATCGGATGCGAATATATTTCCCATGGTGGCGTTGACTTGTTCAAGAACCTGTGAAATGTGCACATATGCATCGAGCGGCGTAAATTTCTTTTCTAAAATTAACCGATCGATTTTGTTCAACACGAGAATCGGTTTGAGATTTTCTATGTACGCTTGTTTTAGACAAATTCGAGTTTGTGGACAAACACCCTCAACAACATCAACCTGAAAATGGAAACATTCACGATTCAGGGTTAGAAAAGGTGGTTTTTGAATTAAATTAATCGGATTAGCTTTATCAGTTGAAAATTTCTGAACAATATTGACACTTCTCTTCACAATAAATTATTTTTCACGATTAGAAAAATCTTTCATTCAAAAACTCATCGTACAACTGAATTGTCATACCAAAACAATAGCACCATCGCATAATCGAACCGCCGTTGACACTTCACTGGAGAAATCCACATGACCGGGTGAATCAATTAAATTGACGATAAAATCATCTTTGGAACCTCTAAAATCGTTGAATAACAACGATATGCAGCTACTCTTCATCGTAATTCCTCGTTCTTGTTCATCGGGCCTGCTGTCCATGTACCTCAACTGGCCGGCCATCCGTTGTGAAATAATACCTGTTTCAAGATATTATGAAATTAGCTTGATTCAAAATGACTCACACATCAACAGCCTGCCATACCGTTACTCGCGACGAGCGAATCTGCCAAAGTTGTCTTTCCGTGGTCGACATGAGCCAAAATGCAAATATTCCGAATTGAATTCACATTTTTCTGTAATTTCACTAGTTTTTCTTTCGTAATTAAAGTCATTTTTACGCACACACTTGTTGTTATCCTTCAAACGGACTATTGAAACTGAATCTCAAGCACAACACAGCGATATCAATATATACTGGGTGCTAGTGATGAAAACATTGTTTTGTTGCACACATGGCTTGAACAGCTGTCAAATTCAAATGACAGTTCATATGTGTCAAACGGACCAGCATGAACATCGTGCGAGAGAAGGTGTGTTCAAGTGCTTTTGTTCCGGGAAATAAAATCGAATGGTTTTCGTAATTTGATGAAATAATTTCGTCATTTCAAAAGAAGTATAATGTTAAGATAAGAAGGCAATAAATGAGTATCAATAATTTCAAGGAAATAATTGATGAGATCGTGATTGAGTCTTTGGAAAATCCACAATAAAGGCGAAAAAAATAGAGTAATTGTTATTGGCATTGAAACGAAGTGGAAGTGCTTCTGTCAAAAACTGACTTTCACCAGCAACTTCAACGCTTATTTTCTCTCTCCAAATATCGACACACATATCAGCAGTGCATGTGCGAATTCAGTGTGTGACAAGTCACTGATGATCGTTTCTCTCCTTTCACTGGACAAAAGTTAACCGAGATTTTGATAGCAACAAAAATGGCATCAACACCAAGCGTTGACCAGAAAAAAGAGTTAATTACTCGTAATTTACAAGAGTACTTGGGCGATGATAAATTGACGGCAATTTTAAAGGAACGTGATTTGAAAATTTACTGGGGCACGGCAACAACAGGTAAACCTCATGTCGCTTACTTTGTCCCAATGTCAAAAATCGCCGATTTCCTTCGAGCTGGCTGCGAGGTAATTTATTCACACACAATCACATATATATTGACGACGAATTAAAATAATCAGAGATGCAACATTCTTCTATTTTATAGGTTACAATTTTGTTTGCTGACTTGCATGCTTATCTGGACAATATGAAGGCTCCATGGTCGCTGCTCGAATTGCGTACACAGTATTATGAGGCTGCCATTAAAGCAATGCTGAAATCCATCGGTGTTCCAATTGAAAAGCTGAAGTAAGTGTAAAAATGTTTCGGTGTAAATTTTATTTGGGATTCCATTCAGATATCGTTATCAATGAATTCAGTATAACGATGCATAGTGTAAAACCGATTAAATTAATATTCAATGTACACCGTTTTCATGATATATACCTATGTGATTAAAATATCGTCGCTCGATTTCAAATCGCAATTGAAGTCAATGAATTCAACTTTCGCAATGACTAACACCAATCTAATTGCAAGCGGTGACGTCACAATTTTATATGTGGCATTGTTGAACATGAACAACTACGGTGCTGCTGACCACGACAATTTTTTTTTTTAACCTAATTTATGCACACTCACCCAAAAGCAAAACTGCATGTTTTCAATAATTTTGTTAAAAATAAATTGAATTAATATTTTTTGTAGGTTTGTGAAAGGAACTGACTATCAGCTGTCGAAAGAATACACATTAGATGTTTACAAACTTACATCAGTGGTTACACAACATGACGCGAAAAAAGCCGGCGCCGAAGTTGTCAAGCAAGTTGAATATCCGCTGTTGTCTGGCCTTCTGTATCCCGGTTTACAAGCACTCGACGAAGAATATTTGAAGGTTGATGCTCAATTTGGCGGGGTCGATCAACGGAAGATCTTCACATTCGCCGAAAAGTATTTGCCTCAGTTGGGCTACGAAAAGAGAATCCATTTGATGAATCCAATGGGTATGTTGGCGAGAAATTATGAGTTTTTTTTTATGAAACTCTACTAAATGGATGTTATTTCTCTGTTTAGTGCCTGGTTTGGCTGGAGGTAAAATGTCTTCGTCAGAAGAAGATTCAAAAATTGATCTGCTGGACACACCAGCTGGCGTGAAGAAGAAGCTCAAGAAAGCATTCTGTGAACCAGGCAATATTGAGGACAACGGTTTACTTTCATTCGTTAAACACGTCATTTTCTCACTTTTCAAAGACGGAGAAGGTAATTTTGGAGTCCAATTGCAACAATTTAATTCATAAACAACAACTGAATGGATTTGGTTTATGCTATTCGTTGCGTTTAGGTTTTGTGGTTAGCCGCAAACCAGAGTTTGGTGGAGATGTCACCTTTACCACATATCAAGAGCTGGAAACAAGCTTTGCTAAGGAAGAATTGCATCCGGGTGATTTCAAACTAGCCGTTGAAACCTACATCAATCGATTACTCGATCCAATTCGTGCTGAATTCAACACACCTGAACTCAAGTATGTTGCTTTTGAATTTTATCAAAATTAGCCAACTTGGCCTTGATTCAGGAAAAAAAATCGATTTCAATAATAAATTTCTTTAAAAAAATCAATCAATTTCAGAGCATTGAGTGCAAAAGCCTATCCACCACCAGCTAAAGAAACAGCAAAGAAAGGTGCTCCAGCTGCCGCAGAACCAGTTGAAGATGGGCCACATCGTCTTGATATTCGCGTTGGTAAAATTGTTGAAGTGTCGAAACACCCGGATGCCGATAGTTTGTACGTGGAAAAAATCGATTTGGGTGAGGCGGTGCCACGAACTATCGTCAGCGGTTTGGCCAAGTGGATTCCAATTGAGCAGATGGAAAATCGTTTAGTAGCAGTTCTGTGCAATTTAAAACCGGCTAAAATGCGTGGTGTTGAATCACAAGGCATGGTTTTGTGTGCATCAGCGTAAGTTATTCATTAACACGAGTTTCAATGTAATGAGGAAGAAATTGACAAAACTTCTTTTCTATTTGCAGTGCAGAAGCCGTTGAACCATTGAAAATTCCATCGGGAGTTGCTCCAGGTGATCGGATCACAGTCGATGGATACAAAGGCACACCCGACGTGCAATTAAACCCGAAGAAAAAGGTTTGGGAGAAATTGCAAGCCGATCTCAAGACCAACGCCAACGGAGAGGCCACATGGCAAGATAACTTCCTTGTAACATCAGATGGTCAGAAAATACTCGCTGCTCTGCAAAACTGTTCGATTAAATAGAAAAGCAAACAAAACGCTTGAAAGAGTTTATTTATGGATGACGAAATATAAGTCAAGCGCCGGCATTTGATTCTAATTCATAATTTTGTTTAACATTTTTATTGCTTCATGGAAGAAAAAGAAAACACAAATAGATTGCATTCACAATAAGGGAAACGAGTCTTTTTAATTCACGACATAGAAAAATGTAATACGATAACAATTCCGCCAAATCCGATGAAGAAGTCATGCCGAAAATAAAGTGACAATGCAAATTCGCCGTAATTTTACTATCACCGGCTTTATGATTAAAACTGATGGAGTTTATTGAAGCAAAACGATTATAGAAGAAAATTTCTCCAATTATGCAGTAATTATTGAATCGAACGGTTTTACTTCTATCGTTACATATTATTCCCGCATTGTCTTTTCTTTCTTTCTATAGCTCTCGGTTAGCATGCGTACGTGTGCACTTGTAATCGGCCACATAATGCTATTTTTTGTTCATGTGGCATGCGGGTGCGTCTAGTTCAGTGAAAAAATGCCATAAGAATAGGCCGTATGTGTGTTGTTCGAGTGTACCGCACTTCATTGCACATAAATCAAACGCAGCGCTCTTCAACTGGACAAAAAGATCCATTAATTTTGAATAACATCCGAAAACTACAATACAAATCAATCGACATAATCATAATTTGTCTGCGCCGTCTTCTATTTGTGGAGAGCCACATTTCTTTTCCTATTTGGTTATAAAATTTGTTTACCCATTCAGCTGTGAACGGTGTGCTTTCTGCGCCAACACTCTATGCATGGGAATTATTTAATAGGAATGTGTACACTTGTAGCCACCGTCGTGTATGCTTGTTCGTTGTGGTGATTCTTTTTTATCGCTGCTGCTACCTCCGCGCATGCTGGCTAACCGAGCGCATCACAAACTGTCAATAACGATATAACGCAAAAGCAGCGAAAACTCCATGAAATGCTCGCGCGCTGTGCAAATAAAATTTCTATAAATTGAAATAGTGAATTCGGTGAGTGAACCAGTCAGTGCTGTCTCATCGACGAAAACAAAAGGTGCGTTTGTTTGTTTAAAAGAAAAAGAAACATTGATCAGAAAGACAAGAAAGGATTTTTCATTTTTTTTTTTTTTCGTTCTAAAATCATTCGATTTGGATTTTATTTGAACAGATTACAACAACAAAACCAAAGCAAATAAAAGGATTTGTGATTATATTGTGACTAAATAAATCGCAACTAAAGTGCCACCCGGAATTTATCCACATACTATTTATATTTAGCACCGATTTTGTTTTCTAAGGTAAGTGTTTGGATTTTTGTCGCATTTTTTTATGCGAAAAGTCTGAATCGCAAATTTCTCACGCGTTTGATGAAAAGGCAGCTATTGTTTGATAAAATATTACCGAACACGATTGAAAATTTGTCAACATTTTGTCCGTTATTTTCGTGTAATTCGAATTCGAGCTAAGACTCATCATTCTCAGCGTTTATCACGTTTCATTCGCACATTTCGGATGATAACAAAGTCGAGAAACATTATGTAATCATTATTGTCGGTTTTCCATCTCACACACACTTCTTGACCAAGACCAGACCCAGTAATTTATATTTTTATGGTAAATAAATGCAATGCAAACGCGATCGCGCGCGTAATGTTAAGTAACACAAATCAAAAGAATACACACCGCATGCGCAAAAAAGAAGAAAACAAGAGTGACCGAGAAGCAATTTTATTGTGAGCAGTTAGCAGAAATATTACATGAATGACTTTGTTTGCGTACACACGCATCCACATAGGCACACATATTCAACGAGCAGATCGCGGTTTTGTGGAAATTTTGATGTTAATTGAAATTGCAAATACTTAGAGCAATGGTATTTGAACACTTATTTGAATATAAACGAGTTTGTTGCCAGTCCGAGTTTTGTTTTAAGCCTCATTTGGTAGGTAATATTTAGACGACCACGAAGTTTGATGTATTTAAAAATGGATTGTTTTGCGCGACGGATTTAACAGTAAATGACTCAATTATACTCGAATTCAGAACGTTCAAGAACTTATCCAAAGTCGAAAAATCACGTCAAATTTGCTTATGAATCTATTTTAATGAATGAAATTAAATTCTGATTTCGTATGAATTTGAATCTTAAAGCTAAGTACACAGTTCCTAGTGAAATGAAAAAATTTCTCCGGTGAAATTTTCATAGGTGATATTTGTATGGTGTTTTTTTATTTTTGAATTGCAAGCATAATGATTTTTGATGCATAAAACAGCTAACTCATTCCAATATCAACACGACACATGAACAAATTTGGTTTTTGAGTTCATTCTTTTATTGTTTTGTCTAAACAAATTTTTTTCACGGTCGTGAAAAATTTTTCGCGTGCAAAATGTACGCGAAATTTCTTTCATGACCGTGAAAAAATAAGAAAGATCAAAATGCATTAAAGAATTAATTCAAAATTCAAATTTGTTCATGTGTTGTGTTGATATTGGAGGGAGTTAACTCTTTCATACATCAAAAATCATTATGCTTGCAATTCGAAAATAAAAAACACCATACAAATGCCACCTGTCAAAATTTCACCGGAGAAATTTTTTCATTTCACTAGGAACTGTGTACTCAGCTTAAATGAGAACACGACAATAGTTCATTTTCTATACAATGTTGAATACTCTTCTTATTTTTTAAATTTTATTTCGAATTGTTCGACCATTTTGAAAATGCATCTCATTTTTGGAACTTTTTGTAATATGAATTGGAGTTTTTAGTAAAAAGAGATCATAGTTCCAGCATTAATTGTGATAAAAAGCTGACACTGAACCTCATTTTATCATTTCAGATACTTTAGAAGCAATCAAAAATACAATCAAAATGAAGGTATCAGCATTGATCTTTTTGTGCATTGTCGCTGTGACCGTAGCCGTTGCTATTCCCGTCCAACCCGAATACGGTGCTGATTCACCGTTAACTCTAGTCGATCTGGAGAATGAACAGCACAACGTTCATCGGCTCGCCGATGAAAATGCAAATATTGCCCGTGAAAAGCGGTTTATTCTGTCGTTATCGAAGAAAATCGCACTCGCTAAGCTAGCCCACCTTGGTCTTGGGTAAATATTCACCAATTCAAGTGTTTTTCAAACCATTCAAATTGCTCTTGACTCATCAAAACAAAACAAAAATTTCATGTCTTTGACCTATATAGTGCATTGGGTATTGCTGGAGCCGCGATCGCAACCAAAGGTGTATTGTCACATGTTTTGGATTTTCAGACGAACAGCTTCCGTGCCTCGCCTCGACTGAGCTATAGTTATCCATCGGGCGCATATCGATACAACCAATACTTCCGATAAATAACTTCAAAACGCCAAAATTCGTTTTCTCATTTGTCAATGAAACCGACTGAGCAAAAATTAAAATAAAACGCGCTTCAAATGATCACAAGATGATTTAAAACGAAGAAAATTCGTCAACAAATGAGTAAAACGAATATCATTATAATATGTAAATAAGAATATATATATCGAGTAAATATAACTTTTATTACCTGGCTTCATCACAGATAGTCAACGAATAATCATATACACATATTTCGTTTTGAGTCTATACATGTAAATAATAATTTAAAATGAAAAAAAAAAAAACTATGTGCCTGTTGTAAATTTGCATATTTATGCTCAAACAATCAGAACGCTTCGTTTTGCACCGCATTGTCATTGTCAGCAGCGCACATAGACCAAAATTTTAATATTCCCGATGAGTTGAAGAGAAGAAATGTTTTTCTATTGACATTTCTTCAAACAAAATTACGCAATTTTAACAATTTAATGTGTAAACATTGAAAATTCAATCACACAAGCGAGTGTATTTCGAAATCAGCGGTCAATCCTGAAATTCTTATGCTTAGAAAAACACACTTATAGCAAACCATGTACATTCTAACCGTAGAATTATGTGACTTTTTTTCTGAGAAAATAAATAAAATACGATTTGAAAAAAAATAAAAACAAGAAAAACATGTCTCAAAGTCTACGTAATGCGTTAAATTTAGTTGTGTAAGCAAAGTTTCAGTTCAAGACAATTCTGAGATGGATTTTGTTTACTTTTCGCATCAACCAATGGATCGATCGATCGATCGATTACATAAGCCAGAAGTAATATATGTGAGTCAATAGAATTCAGTATTGCCGCTTGATTGCACTTTTTTGTACTACAACTACAGCGAACGAGATTGTTGGTCGCGTGAAATTCAACATTTGTCGATTATGAATTCGAATGTCAAATAAAAAAATCGCATGAAACTAGATTTATTTCGTTTTCGTTTTGGACCTATTGATTTCTTTTTATCTCTTTTTCTATCTTTCTGTTGGCTCAATTGCAAATATTGGTTGAAGCAATTGAACTCGTACACAAATCAGAATCAATGCGGATCTCATGTACATAGTAGAAGGTGGGCTTCTCGTTTGTTTAATCAAATTGGTGATGATGACGATGTATTGGCAAATATGAATAGCTAACGAATGAAACGTTCTATACATGTTGCTAACCCGGCTAGCCGATGGGCAAATCCAAAAATTACTGAGTTACTGTGCAAATAAAACAAACCAAGGATCTAACCATAACAAAACCTCAACAACTATCGGCTACGAAGAGCATTTTATCAGTGAGATTTACATCAGGCCAAAATAATGTGCTAATTCTCAAATAGCATGTGCTAATTCTCGAAATCACTTGTTGTTTCAAGAAAATCGCGTGTTGAGTTCAGTTGCCTTAGTGATCATTGAACACTGTTCAATGCGAGCCTGTTCAAGACACTTTCTTCTATTTGGACTTGATGCTTGAGTTTCAAACCGTACATAGAAACAGTAAATCATTGAGTTCATCTGAAATACATGGTATTAGCTCTTAAGTATTTACTCATTCCATTTTACATGAATGACCATAACCGAGAGTTGAAGTGAAAACTTCCAAAAATCAACCGCTTTCATTGATGCCAACAAGTTCAAGGACGTCGAACGTTACATAAATCGACTTTGATGCAATTCCTGTGTGTCTCCATGAAATCCCAAACCGCATGAATGATACCTTTTAGTTCGTCAATCGGTGAGAGCTCATTGTTTACTCGCGGCCAAAAGCAGCGCATCGATGATGCAATTTAAATTAGCGAATTGAAAAAGAAAATAGAGTTACAACAATACCAATTACAAACGACGACACATCAAATATCGGTTGGCTGTACATTTTTGTTAACAGGAAAGCGTAAAAGTAACGGCAGCACAAGCAACAGAAACGCTTGTAACGCTTCAATGGCAAGTGCGCGCGTATTTTCAAATGCAACTACCATCCACTACCGCTTATTATAAAACCAAATATGAAAATATTGCATCATTTTATAACATAACACTTGTGCGTTTCGAACTAGCAACTGTCCATTGTCCATTGCGGGCGAGTTGTTTCTAATTAAAATCCACATGCTTTCAATATATACCGTGCATGCGCCAATCCTTCCAAACCATTTTACTCCATTTTAAATCGAGCTTTAATTGATCGTTTGCGATCATTGGACATCTTTCGTTTAACGGCCAGTGCGTGCGTAATATTGGCATTACCAATGGCATGAAGAGAGAGAGAAATTGTTTCAGGTGTACAATTGGCCCATTTTTATTTTTTTTCATTTATTTTTTTTTTTCAATTTTTTCAATAGGGTTTTTTGATGGTCACAAATTTTCAGATCAGAAAAAATGCTCTAATTGAATTTTAGCAGTGACTAAATTCCGGAAAAGATTCTAACTCAATGAAATCACCTTGTTCTCAAGCATTTTCCTCTGTTTGTCCAGCAAAAAATGATGTTCTAGATCATTTGTAAATATCAATTCAGTCTGTAAATAAAGCGATTGAAAGCATGATGATGCAAAACGATCGAAATTTCAATGTTCACCACTAAAAAAGAAATCATTCATAATTCATCAATCTATCTATTAGTGTTGATATTGATTTTCCTGTTTGCTTATTTGATCTGAGCACATAGGCTGATAAATGCTAATTGCCAAGGTAAATCTCGGTGCCGTAATCAAATGAGCATTTACCATTAGATCGAGCGAATCACATCTTCTCACCCAAAATGAATGAATTATTTTTATTATCATTATTATTGCAACAAATTCCACGATAATTTCATCGCAAACGGGAATTTTTTTTATTGTAACATCGCATCATTTGATATATATACATTTATTCGTAATAAATGCTTCTTGGCTCTTTCTATTTTCGCTGCTGCTGATTATGTCAAACCAATTTAATCTTGGTTCGGTTTGATATTTTTCAATTGAACAAACGGCGTTCGGTGTATGTTTCGTTTAACACTTACGAAATGAGATGAAAATTTCAATGAAGACATGTGTGTAATGTGTGTATTTCTAGTATGTGGAAGTTGAGTATAGGCGCGCCTAAGTGTTGAAGGAGACGATATACAAATAGAAACACGCAAAATAAAATATCACAACAGTGAGACAGAGGTACACAACAGAAAAATCAATTGTATTGCGTGTATTGTGATTTATGTTTTGTTGTGTACTTGATGTTCACTTCCACTTCATCGCATTCTCGCACAATTGGAATTTTTTCAAAATGGACCCGTGTATTTGCTGGGCGTCGAAACAAATCCACTATAAAAGCACCAGATTCAAATTAACTGGCATCAGTTAGCCCATTGCGATCAGCAGCAATACATCAATCTGGTGTACATCACATCGACAATACTCACTTGGATATTTTTTTTTCTATCATCTAGCAATTTTCCCTAAGTACGAGCACTTGTGGACATACATTTTTCTAAGCGAATCGTTCTTTTTTTTACCGATTTAACGAAGGAAACAAAAAAGAAAAGATTCAAGTGAAGTGAACATTTAAATTGAAAAGAAGAAGATTGTGTGAATTCAGTGACACAGAACATAACTCAAAGCCTTAAAAGAAATGTCAATTCGGATACTATTGCCAAGAATTTTTGTTAAAACGTTACGATTCTTTCGATCAAACTATTTCCGAATTTAACGTGCAGTTCTTTTTACATTCAATTTTTGTTCTGTTTTTTTTTTCTTCAAAGCATTACAAATCGAACGCATAGACTCGTTAATAATCTACAATAAAACAATTATTCTTTTCTCGCAGAAAACAATCCACCAAAATGAAATTTTTAGTGCTTATTTTGTTGACAATTGCCGTAGCTTTTGCTATTCCTGTCGAATTGGATTCGGGCGATGAATCACAATTGACTTTAGTCGATCTTGATAACGATCAACTGGCCGCCGATGATAATGTACCCGACGTGGCTCGTTCGAAGCGTTTTATTTTGAAGAAAATTGCACTGATTAAAGCTGGCGCACTCGGTGTTGGGTAAGAGCATTCGGTGTTATGCTACAGTTAACCAAATAATTGATGAATGAAAAAAAATACGCATAAAATACGTTGAATTATTTTTCCAGTGCTTTGGGCCTAGCAGGTGCTGCTATTTCAGCTAAATCGGCTCTTGGTGGTGGTTTCAACGGTGGCTCCAACCAAATCACACAAGGATACGGATCAGCTTATGGTTATGGCAATTCAGGACCATCTCTTACCACTGCCTATCCGTCGCCTTCCTACATTACTAGTCAAACTTATGTGCCACCACAAACCTATGCTCCACCACCACCACCACAGCCAGCCTATGTTCAACAGCAAGCTTATGTAGCCGCACCACAACCATCATTCACTGGTCCAATCAACAGCGCATTGGCATGGAAAGCTGGAATCGCTAATAATTTTGTCAGCGGAATTAGCAGTGGATTCTCCAATTCAGTTCAACAGCCTGTCGTTGGTTACTCCTATGGCGCCCCTCCACCACCACCACCACAACCGATTGCCGGTGGTCCACTGCCGAACAAACCAGTTTACGTAGTTTGCGATAGCCACAACTAGTTTCGTTTTTGTTGCATATTTCGATTTTTTAAGTATGAGTTTTTAACAATAAAAATGTTGTAAATATTACGAATCAGACTTCTTTGCCAAAAAAAAGTATTAAATCAGTAACTATAGCGATTTGTTTTAATAAAAGTCGAAACGAACGAATTATTCGAGGAATATTGTTTTTTTCAAATATTTTTGAATATTTTCAGTTAATTCAACCATGTTATTCATTATATTATCATTCGAGTGCAAAGCAATATCTCGGAAATAGGTCGATATTCATTCAAGAAATTTCCACACGCAGAAATGAATGCCCAACCTTAAGTAAATAGCTCGAATTGAATTTCAAAGTTTACATTTTAAGCGGAAATTGTTACTTCATATTGTTTACAAAGCTTCATCTGAGCGTATGCACCATTTTGCATAAGTTCAGGGGAATTTCAAATGTTCATGCATGAACTTTATTCTGTTTTTTTTTCTCTGCAGAAATCATTCGTGAATCAACCGTACGAAAAGACAGAAAAAACCGCCAAAATAAGATAACCATCAATCATCGGCATTAGCTGAGAATTTACCTACCTTAAAAATGGAACCCAAAGTTTGTATCTACTGTTTTTTGCGACATTCACTTTACGGTTTCCTGAAATAATTATGGTGAATCCGCTAAAGTGACGCTTTTTTTATAATTGAGATTTAGTTAATCTTTGAATGTCAAACTACATCCAAAAATAGACTAAGTGGTATTTTTAAAACGGAATTATGTTTATTTAAATTGCATTTAATGTTACGTTTGTACAACTATTGACATTGCCTTTTGAATAAAAGGCCATTCAAATCCATTTTATTCTTCGGACTCGTCGGTGGCTGTTTCAGTTTCTGTGGCTACTGCAGTGGTTTTGGTAACGGTGGCGGTGGCAACGGCTGGAACTTGAGCTTCAACATGAACGGCTGGGACTGCTTTAACGACTGTGTATGATGGGATGCTGTATGTGTATTGATAAGTGACTGGTTTCACTTCGTATGTAACTGGAGCAGGTACAACGACTTTAGTCTTTTTGACAACTGGTGTCACAACTGGGACAGTCTCAACTGGAGCGGCAGCAACAACTTTGGTGTATGTGACTGGTGTGTATGGAACGAAGACTTTTGAGAAGAAGATGAAACGTTTTGATCGGACAGCATTGTCGAGTTGTGGATTGGCATTGGCAGTCAAGAGGTCGTTTTGACCATATGCTTGTGGATATGGTGCTGGCAAAGCAGCGGCGAAAGCAACGAACAAAGCGAATACAGCCAAGACCTTCATGTTGAATTTTTTTTTTTCTGAAAAAGGAAAGCGGAAACATTATTAGAATTTTGAAGGAAATGGACGAAATTTAGTTTTTTGTCATGAAAATTGGCATTTTCGAAGAAAATATAAATCACAAAATATGCACAGTATTCAATCCAGATGGAAATATGTTTTCCCATTTTTTGAACATTCAAAATGCAATTATGAAAATATTCTGAGCTTTTTAGTTGTGCGCATCTCGATCGAGTACTCAAATACACCCATATCTCATTGTCGCAGAGCTTACAAAAATAAATTTGAAATCGAATGTGTTGTTATTCTAACGAATATTTAGCACAACACTTTTTCTTCTGAGACGAAAATTTTCCACAATTGATTACGATTTTTCCGAATAATATATTTCTTTTAACTCTTAGAATATTTTCATTTATTTTGATTTCGTAAAACGTCTTTTTATGCCAATATATTGATTGAAAATCACTTAAGAACGAAACTCACAATTGATTATAACTGACTATGATCAGACGACTTGTACTTTTGATTTCTGCGAATCAACTAATTGATGAATGTACCACGTTGTCTTTTATATAAGACATAGCCTCTCGCTGCGTCACCATTATTGTTCTGGTTTTAGTCAAAGGATGTTGAGCAAGTTTCGAAAAACCTACCGCCAGAATTACGAATAGTAGAAAATGTCAACATCTCGAAAAGTCTTTATCACATTTTGCCTCCTTCCTATTACATAAGGTTTCACTTCAAAATCAAACGCGTATTTTTCGATCAAGAATATTTTATAGGAAGAATGACAACAAAAGAACCTTTTGCATAGTTTACTGGCGCAACATTTTGCAAAAAAAAAAAAACCTGAACTGAACTTTGGGTGTGATGCTCATCATGCGCAAGTCTTTGTGTTTTTGTTTGAACGATCAGAAGTAATGCGGTGATTTAAGTACGATATGAATGATAAACCAGTTGATGGTGAGAAATATCACGATCACTGGGTCTCTTGAACAAATTCACCTTGTTCTAATTTGACTAATAGCGTAGCGAATGATTAATCTGACCACAGAATGTCAAAAACGTAGCATTTTAGAATGCTAAAATTTTGTAATCAAGTTTTTTATTTCGATAAAAATTTCAGCAGATTCTCTTCCTGTATTTAATTGACAGAAAAAAGTCAAATTTGATTTCAACGTATTTCATGAAATTAAATTAAATGAAATAATATGAGTTTTTCTTTTATTTTCCGCAGTCATTCTTTTGTGTCTCAATTGAGTAAAACTTACACTGTAATTCCAATGAGATTAGAATTTAATCCATTGGGATTTTTTAGCTAAAAAATCCAAAAGGATTAATATTTAATCCCGGCTATGTGAAAAAAATCCATGCGTCAAAACATTATTATTGAAACGAAATATTTCAGAAATTCAAATTGTCGAATTTGTTTGCAATGTGTAGCATTGCAAATGTTCAAGCGGCTATTGCAAAGTGATATACTAACACACGCACACGCTCTGTCATCAGTTTTGTGCAGAAATCACAATACAAACAAAGGCTAGCCACTGATGACAGTGCGTGTGCGTGTGTTAGTATTTCACTTTGCAATAGCCGCTTGAACATTTGCAATGCTACACATTGAAAACAAATTCGAAAATTTGAATTTCTGAAATATTTCGTTTCAACAATAATGTTTTGACGCATGGATTTTTTTTCATATAGCCGGGATTAAATATTAATCCTTTTGGATTTTTTAGCCAAAAAATCCCAATGGATTAAATTCTAATCCCATTGGAATTACAGTGTATGGAATTCTACTGTCAGTAAATTGCTGACCATAAACTAAAGATTCAAATTAAATGTTTATTGTGTGGTGTTAGTTCTAAGCCATGTTCCAAATGATGTTCACGTGTATGAGAATTGGATTCGATAACGAACGATGGAATGGCCAACAATTCAAAGTACATTCTTTTGACATTTTCCCAATATCAAACCATTTCGATCAAACGACTTTGTGTCTGAAAAATTGATAGAATTTCGATTTTCAAACTGCTTGGAGCATATATTTCAAGCCATTTCGTTGCTATCCGAAAAAATATTGTGAAATTACTTAAATCTAGCCATAAATCTCGGTCAATCAATGTTAAGCCAGTTTTCAAAATCTGCTAAAAAAAACTCACAATGTCACTATGAATTCTATACATTAGAATGAACTACGTGGTTTTTAATTAGCCTGAATCGAGCATAGTATCTTCCGTCAAACTTGTTCTGAACCAGTATTAAACACGAATTAGATTAATTATGTGTAGGAGCAACGCGGAAAGTCAAAAGGACTTTGCCCAATTGAACCCGTGCGCATAAAAACGACTTATAAAAACGTCGCCGAACAAAGCGAAACACCTATTTGTTACTCGTTCGATTCGGAACAAATTGTACACTGGTATGTTACGCCGACAAATCTATGTTACGTTTTGATCGGCGATTTTTTTTTTTTGTAATTCATTTTTATGCTCACGGATTCAATTGTACTTGCAATTGGGAGGGGCTGCATGTGTGCGATGTTTCTCCTAGAAAAATTGCGATAGGCACTAATGAGAAAATAATCTTTGAAAAATGGATATAATATTTCTGGATTTTGTGCATAAATTTGCGAATTGCTTTTTGTTGTCACCAGTCAGCACGTGAACGGAGTCAATAATTATAATAATAAATGCAAAATCTTTCACTGCTAGACTAAACGTTCAACACACACAAAGAGATCGACCAAAATCTGTTCAGGTAACGCAAATAATTACAGTGTTCCAAAGTGATTTCGAAGGAAACAGAATATAAGAATTTCTGCATTTCAGAAGACCAACAATTCGTCGGAGGTCACTTTTATTCTAACCGATTCAATTCTTCTGTTTGAACTAAAATCTAGCAAGAAAAAAAACGATGATCAACGAAAAAACAATTGAAACCCGTTTAATCTTTCAAATGAATGACACAATGTAAATTCCCAGCCATGAATTTCACATGGAATCGTCGTATACGCTTTAAAAATTCAATCAAATTCGATTTATTAGTGTAGATACGCTAACCAATTGAATTCATAAACTCTTGCATTTGGCTGATGTGAAAAACCGAACTCAGGCTAATTCATGAATATTATGCCTGTGTCGAATTGGTTGATAAACAAAATTTAAGGGGAAATTTGTCATCAATTGACTTAAAGACCAGCGCAAAAATTACGAAATAAGATCAAACAACTACGTCACCGAAATAGTCTAAATTAAGAAAACCAACATAACAACTTATGAAGAAGTAAACCTTGACAGAGACCGGTAAATAAAGCAAACAAAGATGTAGGTAACGTAGCGACATTTATTGGTTCGTTTGTGACGTTTTTGTGGAATTTTCAGTTTGAAACAAAAATAAAATTTAATTTTGGACTGAGAATGATGCCGCTGTTTGAAACTCGATTCGGGCAGCCATATGATTAACAGTGCATTTGAAATTAATTGCGTTTGATTCCGGGTATGTAACATCTACCAAAGGAAATAAAACTAGTTTTTTTGTTCATTGTTTCTCAAAAAAGTGAACGAACTTTTATTTCGAACGTGTCGGTGAATACAAAGAAACCGGAAATTGGAATTGCAGTGGTTTTTATTTTCGGGATTTCCAATTGTGCGATAATTAGTTTCAGTGCAGTATATATAATGGGCCCTCAATGAAATCGAATTAATTGTGCATTCAACGGCTAAGTAAATTAGATCGTCAGAATATTCAAAATGAAATCCTTCGTTGCTCTGGGTTTGCTTTGTATTGCCGTTGTGCATGCAGCTGTACCATGTAAGTGAGATTTTATAAGGACAATTTCTCATTCTACCAATTCATTTATAATTTCATTTTTAGCACGTGTTGCCCGACATGCATTCGCACCAATCGGCAGTATTACCGGTATTGGCGCCGGACTCAGCTCTTCAGGCAGTCAATCTACTTCGACTTCATATTCGCAAAATTACAACCAAGGAGTCAACGGTGGTATAGGTGAGATGATAAGTAACAGATATGACAATGGTCATATATTTTTTATCGTTATGTATGTTATATCTGGTTATTTTTGTGTGAATATTCTTAGGTGGTATTGGTCTTGGCGGTCTTGGTGGTCTTGGTGGTCTTGGCGGCGGCTTCAATTCGGGAGGCAGTGTGTCATCCGCAAACAGCCAAAGTTCATCATACAGTAAGATTTTTATAATAACCATGCTTAGTAGCCATTGACTCTTTTACGTTTTTGAAATGTTACTGAAAAGGATGAGAAGTCGAACCGTTTCTCTTGATTTAAACACATTTTATCCAAATTTTTTCCAGATCAAGGAATTAGCGGTGGCGTTGGCTTGGGGGGTGGCCTGGGAGGTGGCCTGGGAGGTGGCCTTGGCGGATTTGGATATCCTGGTATCGGTTTAGGTCGATAGAAAACATATACGCAATCGCATGTCATTCATTGTGTACTGTATTTAAAGATTTGCACATGTCTTCATCAACTTGTATAACTTGATCGTGTTCAACAGAAATGTGTGTTTGGATTTTCGCAACAAATAAAATGATTGAATAAATAAATGTAAAGAGAGATTCTAAGTCATTGATTCCAAATTTCTCACGAAATGTTTACGGAAATTTTTTTTTAGCTATTGATCTGGAATTCGTTTGTCATTTTCATTATTTTATCGGTGACGGTGATTCCCCATGCAACACAAGAATATGCATTCAACTTTTTGATGCTAACGAAGACGCTGATCTCAAGTGTGTTAGAACCAATCATCACATCTGTTCCTGACATGATTACTATGGACACTTTTTTCTACATAGTTTTTGTCGTAGATAAAAGCGATTTTCCGTATTAATCTGTCTTCAATTTTATTCAACATACACCGTTTCCATTAGAACCAGAGGTTGGTTGCAGATAAATTTATTTATATAAATTTCAAATATCAAATAAATTTATCCGATATTTTTCATGCGTCGTGTTGTTTGACGCATTTGCAGTACATAAACGAGACATCGGCTATTGTATTGGCAGCCAGCTATTCATCGCAGGAATGAGATTTTTGTTTTGTTCATTTACCGATATTTGTGAACAAGTCTGCCACTGTGTCACTACATAGCATATATAGTCCATAAGAAATGTACAGAGACGAAAATGTTCGCCATTTAGTTTTACATTGCCAATACATTAGTTATGGAGATTTTTGATTTGTTTATGTTTTGTCGTTTGTAAACAAATCTGCGCATCTTTTTGCATTGTCTCTACAAATTTCTTAGGGACATATACTACGTAAAGTGGCAATGGCAAAAAGATAGGCAGATTTGTTTATAAACGACAAAAAATAAATAAACCAAAAATCTCTATAACTAATGTATTGACAATGTAAAACTAAATGGCGAACATTTTCGTCTCTGCACATTTCTTATGGAATATATATACTATGTAGTGACACAGTGGCAGAATTGTTGAGAAATAACGGTAAATGAACAAAACGAAAATCTAATTCCAGCGATAAATAGCTGGCAAATGCGTTAGAACAACACAATGCATGAAAAATATCGGATAAATTTATTTATTATTTGAAATTTATATAAATAAATTTATGTGCAACCAACCTCTGATTAGAACTCATCTATTCTAGAAGCGATAACTCAACTTGTTTGAAATGTATGCAAAAATTTGCGCTCCAATTTATATGTCGACTCGATGAGTCTGGAAAAGAAATCTGATGATCTTTTGCAGATGAAACATTTGAATGAGAAAACAATAAAAAAAAAACGATTCAGTTAAAAAAATAACGGAAGAATGGTCGCTATAAAATCGTTCTGAAGCAAATAATGTTGTTATCAATTCAAAGCACAACAAATAAAACCGACCAGTTGTCCAAAATAGGTTTCGTTATGTGAATGTGGAAATCAACACGAATACAAACGATGATTACACACAAAAAACCCATGGGGTCAATATTAGCGTCGATTGGCTTGGTATTCAATGCGAATGTAGTATGGTTCTACGTGATAGGATTGATCAACAACGAAAAAACCCAAAGTGATATTCTTTGTTGTGATTATCGTTAGCATGATATCAGCTGTGAGACGAATACTTGGAACTCGGTGTCATTAAAGCAGTTTTACTGAATCAACAGACAAACATATCCGTAAGCAAAGTCATTATCTGGAACGGTTTTGTAGAGAATTGGTTTTGATAGTTACTAATTGGCTAAAAAAATAAATGTAGGTATATTCATGAATGAGACAAAAAGAATGGAAGAAGAAAAAAAAAATAAATAAAAACCGAAATATTCTTCGCGCTTGTGTTGTGTGGTAATACTGGGAATATGATTTTGAGGCATTATAGAAAGAAAGGCGACAACAAAATATCAAATATATTTGCTAGTCTGAAAAAAACCAATGGCGAACTGATGATAATAGAGGTTATATTGTTTCGCTATGTTTTTTTTTCTGGATTCTTCTTGGTATCTATATGCTTATTTCGGCCAATGAAGATGTTCTGAATGATAACCAGCTCAATGGAGCGAATGGGAATATTACAGTAAAAAAAATGAAACAGGAAAAACTAGACACCTATTATCAACACACACGCACACATTGAACTTTCACACATGATGCGATAATCAAACAAAGTGTTTCGTCTCTCTATAAAAAAGCTGTGCCAAAATTCGGTTCGATTAAATTGAAAATCATCGTTGAAACAGACAGTTCGTCAAAGAGAATAGTTTTCAAAATGAAATCGTTCGTCGCTTTCTCCGTCTTGTGCGCAATCATTGCTGGGGCCAACGCCGCTCTTTACCGTAAGTTTGAAGAAAAAAATTAGTTTGTAAATTAGTTCTCGTGCTAATTGTCGAAATTAATTTGTTTGGAACATTGAGAGTTTGTAGAATTATTGTGATAATTGTGATTGTTAAATTCCAAATTTTGAAACTCTCTGGACAGTTGTTGAAATTCCTGATCATCATCGTGTAGTTCGTTCTCCACAATTCGGTGGTGGCCCAGGATTCGGAGGACCAGGTATACACACTAACACAATTTAAGGAGAAAATCTGCTTTGAAATTTCCAAAAATTCAGTTTTTATTTGATCTCAACAAATGCTGTTCTTAACGTTATTCAAATGTCTTTCAATAGGATTCGGTGGTGGCCCAGGTTTCGGAGGACCAGGTAAAAACTTTATAAATATTGCCAAAAGAATTGAGTTATCTACTGGAATAAATCCAGAATATCATTAACCTGATATTGAAAGTTGTTACAGTGTTGTATGTTGTGAACACAAGTTTAGTTTTTTTTAATGTTGCTAGAATTGTTCAATATCTCTATTCAATGTTACTTTCAATATAATAGTAACGATTTTCAACATTTCAAAGAAAGTTTTGTTCAATTTCCAGTATCTGATTCTATTTTATTTTTAAATAAGGTTTTGGTGGTGGTGGTTTCGGACAATCAACCAGCCAATCCAACGCAAATGCCCAATCATCATCATCTAACCAAGGAGGTTTAGGAGGTATAAGCTTTGAATCACTTAAATATTTTCAATTTATATAGCAATCAAAGTAGTAGATAGTATTCGAAAAGCTATGATGTGTCGTTTGCTTGTTCAACCATGAAAAGTTACAAACAAAAAGATTAAACGGAACAAACAATTCATCCGAGTACAGTCGTTTTTGTGAATGTAGCACCAATTTATTGTAATATTTTTTTGATTTTCGTTAACAAATGTTTCTTTTGTTTTAAAAGGTTACGGTCCATATGGTGGCGGCCTTGGTAGCTCAGGTTCATCGTCAAATGCCGCTTCATCGTAAGTACTGAATTGCAGTCGATGTTAATTTTCAAAATAATTTTTGTATCGTTCAATTGTATTTGCAGAGCTAACACTCAAACATCGAACTTAGGTGGAGGTCTCAGCGGACAACAATCAACATCTGGAGCTTCAGCAAACGCTGGATCATCAACATCAAGCCAAAACCTAGGAGGATTAGGTTACGGTGGATACGGTGGACAAAGTGGTTTTGGAGGTCCAGGTGGTTTTGGAGGTCCAGGTGGTTTTGGAGGTCCAAGTAGTTTTGGAGGTCCAGGTGGTTATGGCGGACAACAATTTGGAGGATCACAATCTAACGCAAATGCCGCCAGCCAAACTGGAACAGGCCAATCGGGATTCGGACGTTAAGTCGCAATAGAAAAAAATCACTCTTCAAAATGTGAAACAAAACACTAGGAAAAAAATAAAAAAAAATATTTAAAATGTATTCTCTTTCGTTTTTATCATCCGCAATGATATTTATGTTTCAAACAAAGAATATTATTCCGTATCTCAAGCAAAACATTTGCATTGGAATTGCATAATTGGTGTTTAGAACAAAACGAACGTTGAAATCAAAAGCCTAGAACCAGTTTAAATGTTTAAATGATGAAAAAAGAAGTTTCATGAGTCACACAATCGCTAGCATAATAACAGCAGAAAAACAATGAAAAGAAGTAAAGACGATGATGTACACAATGGTTAACAGTATCATTGACCGACCGAGAACATTACAATAAAGAATAAAACAGGTAAAACGAGAAATGCAATGTCGATACACACGCATTAAGTGCAAAAGTATCAGCGCACGGGCATTTTTCTATAAAAAGTGCATTGCCGATGGTCAAATTGATTAAACAGATATTCATTGCCGGAGGAAATAGTTTATTTAAAAGTGCAAAAAATGAAATCGTTTGGTGCTTTCGCCATTTTGTGTGCAGTCATTGCAAGTACAAATGCTGCTCCTTACCGTAAGTTTACATCCAACAATTTGATAAAAACTTATTTCAGTGCTAATTATAAATAAACAGCTCGAAAAACAATATGAAAAATTCTATATCAATCATGGTCAATGTGATTTGTGTACAATGTTTTTGTTTTAAAGAAAATTAGACAAAATTTACTGAAAGAAAAAAAAACGATTCTTCCATTTAAATAGTTATTGAAATTCCTGATCACCACATTGTAGTTCGTTCAGCTCAACATGGACAAGGCTTCGGTGTCCCAGGTAACAAAGAAAGAATTATTTGAAATCTTATTGAATAACTAAGAATATTTGGAATAGAGCTCATTTACATCAAAAATACATTTTTTTTTTCAAACATTCAATCGAATCGCGATGAAATTGTTTTGTGTTTCATTCGAAATGCTTTCTTGTCAAGGGAAAGTATAGGAATTGGTCCCGAAAACTTTTTTCGCAAAATTGGTTTAGATCATCATAAAAACTCGTGAAACGCGTAGAAAACCACTTTTTGAGACACTTTTCCGTTCGTGTGCCGTCGTCGTCGTCGTCGTCGTCGTCGTTGGTGTTTGTCAACACGATAACTCAAAAAATAATTGAGACAATCAAAATCTGGAAATGCCAAAAGTTGTGTATCAAAAAAACTTAGTTTAAGTTCGAAGATGAGCCATTTTTGATTTGATCCTGGGGTACTTGCTAAGAAAAACCTCAAAAAATTGACACTTTTGTATGGGAGGTACCCGTTAATCGATTCTGATTGGCTTTAAACTTTCTGAGATTTCATTTTTTGGGAGAAAAATAAGATTCTGAAAGTTTCATGTTGATCGCATTTGAAGAAGTTTGATTTTTTTTCCTCAATTTTTGTCGACATTTTCTTGGAAAAAATTGAGGGCCAAAAACCAAACTTCTGCAAAAGCGATCAACATGAAACTTTCAGAATCTTATTTTTTCTCCAAAAAATGAAACCTCAGAAAGTTTAAAGCCAATGAGAATCGGTTTACGGGTACCTCTCATACAAAATTGTCGAAATTTAAGTTAAAGTGACCGATTTTTCACTTTATTTTTATTATTATATTTTCACTGCCTTTATTTCAAGAAAATTCACAAAAAATAACAAAAATTACCTACGGACAACGCAGGCCAACGGTACGGAAAAGTTCGGGATTACCAATGTAATTCTTTTTATATTTTTCAAGCTTTCGGTGGCCAAGCATACATTCAACATGGTCATCAACCAGGGTTCGGTCATCAACAAGCATTTGATCCACCTCAACATAATTTTGGTCATCAACAAGGGTACTCTCCTTATCATGCATTCAGCCAACCACAAAAACAACAAGTAAATAGTCAATCGAACGCCATAGCTCAGTCATCGTCAATAAACCAAGGAGGTGAGATTTGATTCAATAACTTTTTATAATTAGAAAAAAATACCCATTTACATCGTTAACAAACATTCGATTGTGTTTTCAAAGGATTCCCACCTGGTTTTGGTGGTCAATTTGGAGGTTCACAGTCAAACGCCGCTTCATCGTAAGTGTTGTTAATACATTTTCAGTTAATTCTAAATTTCAAATAAAATAACATCAATCAAACAATCGAATAGCGCTAACACGCAATCATTCACACAAGGAGGTGGTTTTGGTAGGCCAAGCTCATCTGGTTCACAAGCCGGTGCATCAGCGAATGCCAACTCAGCCAGCTTTAATCAAGGCGATTTTGGGGGTATGTCTCTTTTTCATCGGAAACTGTTTTACCTTTCAATAAATCTTGCGTTAATAAAATTTCTGTTTCTATTTGAAAAGGATTCGGTGGAAACTTTGGTCAAACACAATCAAACGCCGCATCAAATACAAACAGCCAATCACAAGCCTACAACCAAGGATTTGGATTTTAGAACATAACAATAACATCTTGTTCACACAATTCTTTTCAAAACGTTAAGCATCAAATGGAAATTTTTTCAATATTTTTTAGAAATTTCCAAAATATATTTTCAAGCATAAATTTAGAGGAATAAAAACGGAATATTAATCAGAATCTCGTTTTATTTGCATTGGATTACATAATTAGTGATAATATGTTTAGATCACATCCAGTTATATGAAATCCAAAAGCCGAAAACCAGTCGAAACTATTTAAAAAAAAAAGAAGTTTCAGAAATCGCATAATCGCCTTCGGCCGGTTGTTCAATTAACTATCATTTTGCTTTAATTAGATTATGGCAACGACTCACCTTTCATATTAATATTCATGTGGCCATATAAAAAGATCCCCTGAAAATACTCGTAAATTTGAAGCATGAGAATAGTCAAAATAACAACAAAATCAAACACAGCACACACACACACAAAAAAAGCACAAAGAGCTAAGCAACGATACACTCTTCACCACACGAAAAAAAATCATACTTATCGATCAACGAACCGTGCATACTTCTATTGACTTGATTTAATTCGAATATAAATGTGTGTACATGTGTCTATTTTTCGCTGTTATGATATGGAAGCCTAGAGCAAAAAAACTTTTTTAGAATTCATCAAAATATGTGTGGACGTGGTACTTCGAAATGGTTTAGCGTCATTAAAATGCTTGCCTATCAAAAACCGTCTCCGATAACTCCAAGATTTGACATTCAACTTCACAAAAGTAGCACGAGTTCATCTTCCGATTTTTATAAGATTCATTTTCCCGTAGAATAATAATAACAATAATAATAAGAAGGACGACAGACAATCAACAACAACAACAAAACTTAAGTTGACGCTGTTTTCGACTTTTTATTCCTTATCGATAATTGTGTTCTTTCTCAACCAAGTTACAATTTATACTATTAGATTAGATTTGCTCAAAAAATGTTTTAAATACACGCAATCGAAGTCATAAAATAATGACGAAAAGGAAAGGAAAAATGTTAATGGTGTTTATTGTGCACCGCCATAGTTTTGGACGTATGATGATGTTGATGGCATTGCCATGGCGTTTTGTTGCTGTTGCTGCTGTTGTTGAACGTCGGTATACGTAGGTGGATCCCCATTAAACCAGTTCAGCAAAATTGCGTGTTCACGTGACTGAGTGCATGTGTATTGGTCGGCGAGAAGAGTTTGTGAGAATGCCACATGATTGTTGTACGCTTCAGTCTCTTGGTGCACCTCTTGTGACATTCGATAAAGATCTTTTAGGATCGCACTCCCCCACAATTGGACGTTAATGTCCGGGATTTTGGATGCCAATTGCATGGCCGGCGTTACCATGTTCATACTTTCTTTTGAATTGCCAATACTTAAAAAGACATGGCTTAGCAACACCAATGAGCACGATGTCAACCGATTCAAATCTTCGGCATTGGCCATTTTCAGTGTTTCACGCAAGAAACGCTTCGCTTCATGGAAACTACTCTTGTGAAATGAGTTCAAACCTTGAACATAGTAAAAGCAGCCCATCAACGCTTGACTGTTCATACACTGCGAATTCTCCGACGAAACCGCATCGAGTATTTGACGCAAATCATTTTCACGTTTTGTTCGCAGATAAATTATCGCCAGATTTAAATTAGCAAATAGCTTTAGATCGCGCTCAGAAGTCTCCTGAATGCAGCATAGCAACTGACGTTCCCCCTGCTCAAAGAAACTGATTGACATTGCGTATAGGCCAAGCAGACAATGCAATTGAGCGGAGTGACGCTGCAACAGTTTCTTGTCGGGGGAGTTGACACACACGTCGCGAGCCAGTGAGATTTCCTGAATGGAATCAAATTTGTTTGTGAATAGGTTGATTATAGGCGATTCAATTTACGGAATGTGGAAAAAAAATAGAAGTTTACCTTAATAGCTGCCGTTTTGTTGCCCATAATCAGTCGACACATGATGATATGCTCGAGTAAAGTAATTTGAAAAACTGAGAGAATCGGCTTGTTTTCTTGAGCACGCAATTTTTCAATCTGCTCCAATGCGGTTTCGGTGAATTTTTGCGCTTTATCCATGTATCCAGCCATCATACTGTGTGACACTGTCACTAAATAAACGAGCACATACAATTGCTCTTTAGGTAACCACATGAACATTTCCAAGGTGTTGGTTCCATTTTGACCGAAAATCACTTCGTCCGGTGGCCAAGTGGGAGACAACAACGACTGGATGCTTTGCTGAAGTTGCTTTAGATTCGGTTTCACCGTTTTTACTTGACCTAATGCCAAGTAATAGCACACCTGATAACAAAGAAAGCACACACACACAAAAATTACGTAAATAACCAGTCAAAATGAAGAAAGTCGTTTTCAATGGTTCATTAAGAGAATTCGTAAAACTTTTCTGAAAATGGCATGCAAATTTGTCGGAAAAAAACAATGAATAAATTTACCTGTAGCACCAAATAAAAAACTTTGAGGTATTCTTTCAAATGCAAATTCTGAATGGAGTTCTCGATGACGATGCTCGCCTGATGGAATATCGCCAGCACGTCATTCATTTTCCGGTCAATCAATAAGATCATGGCACGACTTAGTAGAAATAGCACTTTCAAGTATGTTGCATTCGTTTCTTCTGTCGATTCCACGCCGAGTGCCAAAAGCTCCGATGCAACACTATATTCCTTATCGCTCGCGTGTAATTGCTATAAAAATATCGAACAAAAAAAAACTTTTCAAATATCCATTCCAACATAAAGTGAAAGTGCTATCTTACGGCCAATTGGAAAAGCAGCCTGCAGTGCCAGTAAACATTGTGCTGTGATATTTGCAACGCCTTCCTCAGTACTTGTTTTGCCATGATGCTTTGATTTTGCTCCTGGTACAATTTGGCAATCAAACTGGCCGCATCAAATTTTACATCGTCAAAATTTTGCACATTCTCCGACAGCATCCACTGAAAGTACACCAACAAATACATAAACACAATTATTAATAACTTTACTGTGAAAACTCTTTTATCTCCTTTGGATTTATGATGAAATGGTAGAACAAAATCTTACCGCTTGCTCCAAGTGATGGCGAGCCAAGTCAACGTTTTGTGTGTAAACTAATAAAACTTGTCCCATTTGGAGGTGAGTACGGGCGACCACTTTCGTCGGTGGCATAAATGTGAACAGTGCTTGCAGGCTCTGGATACATTTTTTGATATTCGGTGGATTGGTGGTGCGAAAATATTCAGCCAGCCCAAGAAGTGATATGTAGATCTTATCTTGATCCTGTTTAGACGACATTATTCAAGTTCTTTGCCACCGAAATTAAATAACTAAAATAAAAAATTGCCCACAGACTGTGTATGTTTCTAAGAGCGACGCGTACTTTTGTTTTCTATTTTGACATTTGTCAATCGACCAATTCTCTAAGTGTCACCATCGCCATCTGGTGGCATACGGTCATCATTGTTTTTGAAAATCGTTAACTTTTATTTACAATTATTAAATTATTTGACGCGAAAAATGAAATATGGAATAAATATTCTAAACAAAAGGGGAGGGGGAAAACTTTTTTCAAGTTGAAACTAAATTCCATGAAATGAGTAGACATTCCAAAATATGCCAAAAGTAATAAATGAAATCCCATATCAAGCGGAACATTCACTGTTCGATGAAAGCAGCCAGAGGTCGCATCGTATTGAAAGTCATCGAACACCTGAAAATAGCGAATCTGTCATCGTTCTCAGTCTTTTTAGAATCACACGTGAAGCTGCGTGGTAAACCTAAATTCAATTCAGCTGGTTGCATACGACAATTCTCTCGATTTTGTGAAATAAGGTTTGTGTTTTCAATCAATTTTCGTTTATTAAAACATTCATAAAAGTGTAATCATTTGAAGTTTAGTGGCGATGATAAAATTGCGTGTTGAAATTCCGAGAAAAATGAGTCAATGATTTTGCAATTATTTCCGTGTTGGCTGATTGGTTGCTCGAAACACACATGCATGTCTCGATTAATGTGGTTATAAAGAAACGAGATTCTATGGCTGTCAAATACACAGGATCACATACACAATGACTGAACAGTTGTGTCAGTGTGTATGCGAATAGCGAACGCAACGTGTGTTAAACACCCATATACTAGTATAACGAAACAAAGGCAGTATTAGGAAAAAAAATTCCATTGAGGATTGACTTTTTTCCTTTGCGCTTGTGGTCTCTCTCTCTCTCTCTCTCTCTCCCTCTCGACGTACTGTGTGTGATCTTTGTATTGTATAATTTTGACTCATCTGTATCTCCCGCTTTTTAAAACATGAACAGCTGAAATACTGTCGCTGTAGTTGCCTACGTATAAATTTCACAAATTTCAATCGCGGTTCGGTTGTGTGTATATATCGATTTTCACGTCGAATTTTATTATATCGCCTAATGCAGTGAAATAGTGCAGCAACAGAAAAAAAAGATACAACGTGACATTTTTTTCTAAATCGCCCTAAACTGTTTTTCTGTTGCTCGCATTCTCTATTACAGACATTTATTTTAATAAATAAAATATTGATCGATTTTCTTTGGTCTGCTTCGTTGGATTAATTGAAAAATAGAAAAATGCCATCCGATTCGAAGAAACGTGAACAACAGCGCAAGAAAGACGCACAAAAGAAACGTAATCAAAAAATTACTACGGTTACTTCGAAAGACACGAACGATGAGAAACCAACGAATGGAACAACCAACGGTGTTGCAACCAATGGTGCTGCCGTCGAAATGACTGAAGAAGGTAAAATACACACCAATAAATCACAACAACAACAACAACTATGGTGTTCAATAAATGGTGACGTTTTTATTTTTCTTTAGAAAAATTGTGTGCAAAGTTGGAGATGGAAGCACGTATCAATCAAGAAGCCCGTGCCTGTACTGGTTCATTGGCCGTACATCCACGATCGCGTGATATTAAAATCGACAACTTTTCCATTACATTCTTCGGTTCGGAGATGTTACAGGACACTATGCTTGAATTGAATTGTGGCCGTCGTTACGGATTGATCGGATTGAATGGTTGTGGAAAATCGTCACTATTGGCCGTCCTGGGTAATCGTGAGGTACCCATTCAAGAGCAAATCGATATTTTCCATTTGAGCCGCGAGATTCCGGCATCAACCAAAACTGCCCTCCAATGTGTAATGGAGGTGGATGAGGAACGTTTGAAGTTGGAAAAATTAGCCGAAGAACTTGCAACTAAAGAAGATGATGAGTCGCAAGATCAACTCATGGACATCTATGAACGGCTCGATGATATGGCCGCCGATCAAGCCGAGGCGAAAGCAGCTCGTTTACTCCACGGTCTTGGTTTCACTAAAGAAATGCAACTGAAACAGGTGAGCAAAACGAAAGATAATCATTTCGATTTCATCGCGCTAAATTTCTTTTGTTTTATTTCTCTCTCTCTCTCTCTCTCTATAATTCGTGTGTAGGCAAAAGATTTCTCCGGTGGTTGGCGTATGAGAATTGCTTTGGCCCGTGCACTGTTTGTGAAGCCTCATTTGTTGTTGCTCGATGAGCCAACGAATCATTTGGATCTTGAAGCTTGCGTCTGGCTGGAAGAAGAACTTAGCCAATACAAACGTATTTTGGTGTTGATTTCACATTCACAAGATTTCCTTAACGGTGTGTGCACCAACATCATTCACATGGACAAGAAACGCTTAAAATACTACACGGGTAACTACGAGGCGTTCTGCCGTACTCGCATGGAATTGCTGGAAAATCAAATGAAACAATACAACTGGGAACAAGATCAAATCGCACACATGAAAAATTACATTGCTCGATTTGGTCACGGTTCGGCCAAATTGGCCCGTCAAGCACAATCCAAAGAGAAAACTCTTGCAAAAATGGTCGCACAAGGCCTCACCGACAAAGTGGTTGATGACAAAACGCTGAACTTCTCTTTTCCAAGCTGTGGTACTATTCCTCCACCGGTAAGTTCACATTAACCCATGAATACACTCATTTTATTCTTCAAAAACTCACACAACGATCTCTTTACCAACTCATGTCTTTTGTCTGTATAATTTCAGGTAATCATGGTACGTAGCAGAATAGGTTGAACTGGTTTCAAGCACAGCACATAGTAGCAAGTCAAACGATTTCTATTAATCAAAATTATTTAATGTAATTTCAGGTGCAAAATGTGTCGTTCCGTTACAACGATAGTACGCCCCACATTTACAAAAATCTCGAGTTTGGTATCGATTTGGACACTCGTCTTGCTCTTGTAGGCCCCAATGGAGCCGGAAAGTCAACGCTATTGAAATTGTTGTATGGCGATCTGCAACCAACATCCGGAATGATTCGTAAGAATTCACATTTGCGCATAGCCAGATATCATCAGCATTTGCATGAATTGTTGGATTTGGATGCCTCTCCATTGGAGTACATGATGCGAGCTTTCCCAGAAGTAAAAGAACGCGAAGACATGCGTAAAATTATTGGTCGATATGGATTGACTGGCAGACAACAAGTTTGCCCAATTCGTCAGCTTTCTGATGGTCAACGGTGTCGTGTTGTGTTCGCATGGCTTGCTGGGCAAACACCTCATTTGCTTCTACTTGACGAACCTACCAATCACTTGGATATGGAAACCATTGACGCTCTCGCTGAAGCCATCAATGACTTTGACGGTGGAATGGTACGTGTAACACTTTTAAATTTGCATGCCTCATTCAAACACAGCATATTCATTTATTTCAATTTATTTTGAACGGGATGTTCTGTAGGTGTTGGTGAGTCACGACTTCCGTCTTATCAATCAAGTTGCCGAAGAGATTTGGATTTGCGAGAAAGGCACCGTTACCAAATGGAACGGCAACATTTTGGATTACAAAGATCACTTGAAATCGCACTGCGTCACCAATGATAAGGAAAACGGCAAGCAAAAATAGAGCTGCAAATTTATTTACTATCTAGCTTTATTGTAAATAACTTGTTCGTTGATAACAAAGTTCATTCTTACCAATAAAAAAAACTGTTCAACTACCAAACAAACACAAATCACGTTGTTTCTATTTTATCCAACGCGTGATTTTATTTTAATTGTATTTTTCATTTGACTAAAGTTTGTGAATGAAGTCAAAAATGGGTTTTCCCATTGATCAGGTCTTTTAACATTTTTGCGTAGTGAGTGTTGTGTCTGCACGTGCATCTCGCGTGAACTTGTTACACTAACATCATCACAGCACATCAACACAATTCCATAAGAGCAACAAAACAAAAATACGCTTTAAAATTTATATATAAAATCCACGATAGATTCTCGACGATATCTCCATTCGAACGACGTTTGAACTCATGAAGCATATAGATGGTTCTTTAATTTTTGAATAGTTACTACTATTGATTTCTGAATCATTTCAACTTCTTCCATTCAATGGTGATTTTGCGAACAATGTTAAAATTGTCTGCGGATTATTGTATGTGCAAATGTAGCATATTATTGCTGGAGGCTTATTTTTAGCATTTAGTTATACCCCAGATACTTTATTAGCATTTAATAGAGTAAACAACATTTCAATCGAATGAAAAACATCCTATTCTAAAGGGTATTTGATTTTAAAGTATCGATGTTTGTAAACAGGGAAATCCAATTTAAAAAGGAGTTCCAATTAGTTCAATTTATTACGCTTAATTTAGTTATTGAATTTGGAATTTGTACCATAACGATTGCACATACACTTATTGTTTTCTTGTTCAAATGGAAAATAAAATTCTTCCGTTTCCAAATTAGGTTGATTCATTAAGTGATTACTTCATTATAAAACCGCAAGAAGAAATGTCAGAGGGTAATTTCGTTTGTTTTTCTACAAAAATCCAATGTCCACAATATTTTATTTGAGTCTTTGATGAAAAGAAAACAAACAACGGGAAAATTATGCAAAACAGCTTATTCTCCGAGAACTTTTGAAGTAAATTGTTTTCTTCCGGAATTGATTGGATCCATATTACGCAACCAAACCTAGGGGGATTCAAGTATACGCAGAAACCACAAGCGTCCACAAATAAATTCGAGCATTCATGCTCTTTTTCCAAGTATTTCGTACTCTAGTGTGGGAAATCGGTCAATTGAAAAAAACTGAAAATGAATAAATGCAATCGTAAATGCGTGTATTCAAATAAATGGAGAGTTATTTGCATGTGTGCCACTTTTACACCCAGAACACATTTCAAAAAACAACAAAAATATTTGAAGAATCAAAATGTCATTTAAATTCATTAAAATTGAGTTGTACGCTCCAAAAGGAAAAAAACATTTTATTTTGCAATCCCCCTGGATTCGATCTTATTATTTTGATAATTCTCTTTCATCAAGGTTTCATGTGCAATTTTCCGATAAACGTTTTGTTTTTCCGAAAAAGATCAAAGAAAAGTGGGAACATGGACTTACTATAAAAGGAAGTGTTTCTCTCTCAAATGAAGCGCTAGTACTGTTTGAGTATTTCAAATTATAAACACTTAAAATGGGCACTCGCGAGATTGTGACTTGGTATGTGAAAGCTTTCAAAGTCTATGGACTATGGCCACCGGAAAATAATTCAATATCGTACAGTATTTGGTCGGTCATAGTGGGGATTTTTATTTTCGTCGCGCACTCCTTATTCAAGTTGAGCTCGGTGATTTTCGTGAGTTCTGTTGACGACATAATTCATATTCTGCTGGTTGCAAGTGCTGTTGTAACCATTTCATTTAAAGCATTGATTGTAAAGATTGTGAAGGATACCTTTGTTAAACTACTGGATTTGATGGAGGATATGGATAAAAAGATTCAATTCAGCGAATATCATAAATTTTTAGAGCCATTCATCAACCAATCAAAATTGGTTTTCAAGTATTTCGCGATGTTTTCATGCTTGAGTTTGGCATCGTTGGTTCATCAACTAACGATTACTACGCCTGAAGAAAGAATTTATTCATCAACTTATTATTATCCGTATGAATCATTTCGACAACCAATGGTCTATGTGGGGGGGTTGGTTTATGAAGCTATCGCAAACTTCTGCATGATTCCAATTTTCGTTGCGCTCAATTTCTATGGCATAATGATGATGTGCATTCTTGTTGGATACATGAATATCTTATGCGTACGCTTGCGATCTTTTGGCAATGACAACTCAAAAGAGCATAAATTGGAACTCGTGAATATTTTTGAGATGTACATTGGCATTTCAAGGTAATTGAAATTTAAATCTTTTGATTTATTTTCGCAATGCGTGCAAAAGCAAATACTTTTTCAGATATTCAAAGCTCTTGGAAAAACTCTTGTCGGCTACATTATTTTTACAGTTTGGTGTCAGTGCTATCATCTTATGCATTAGTTCCTACCAAATTAGCAAGGTTCTAGCAAACCGAATCTATTCCTCCTTCAAAACGTCAGTGCATAATATTTTAATTAAATAATTACAGATTACTATTTCCGAAGATATGCCAACCTTTGTATTTTCACTGACTTATATAGCACAAATGCTTTTGGAGATTTTGATCCCATCGTATTTTGGTTCATACGTATTCTTGAAGGGAGAGGAAATTCCATACGCCGCATTTCAATCAAACTGGATTGTGTTAAATAAAGATGTTAAACAATCGTTGAGAATTTTGATGGTACGATCGATGAAACCGATTCAAATTCATTCGGCCAAAACTTTTACTTTGAATCTAACCACTATGATGAAGGTATGAATTTGGAAGAAAAATTAAAGCAAAATCAATTTTATTATTTATTTTCAATTGTTTTAGATTCTAAAATTGACATACTCCCTTCTAGCCGTACTTAATAGCATGAATTAGGTACTCGAATACCTTTTTGAGAAAAAAAATATTGACAGTATGATGAGGGGTGGACCAGTTAAAGTTGAATAAAATTGGAACATTTGTGTTAAAAACAGAGATTGCATATTTGCTGTTGAGTAGGCCTGAGCTGAGCTAAATACGTTCGCAATATGAACTCTGAAATTTGTCATAAAATTTAAAAGGCCGCTTTAGTACCGTTAATATGCCGCTTGAATCGCTACCATCGCCGCAAACAAATCCGTTATGAATCTGACTGTTTTTAAATAAAAAAAACATCTTTGAATAAAAAAAAGGTAAAATAAAATTGTAAATTCATTTCTCAACACACAGTTCATAAAAAAAATTATTTGCATCAATAAAACATAGAAAAACAACAATTATTCTACTGTTAATTTAGTATTAACCCAGAAAAGTCTATAATTTTTATTTTTTGAAAAAGTTTGTATTTGGAATCCCTTCCTGAATAAATTCTCTCTTTCCAAATCAACTAATGGCTAATCAAGCATACCTGAAAATATCTGGGGCATAAGTTTAATAGTTTGAGAAATGGATTTCAACCAACCAAACTGAGCAGTGTATTGCGATCAATTTCAACAGGGCATTGTGGCCATGTCTGGCCACCTGGACAACTTGCACTGGAAGGATATGCAAACGTAGCATTTCCATAAAAACAAGACCAGAAAAACCGATTGAATACATAATTTTTCTGAACACATAAGCAATCTGGTCCAGTTCCGATACTAACGCCCTTCGGACATTCGCGACCAACGTTACTTTTGCATGCGAATTCCTCCGGCTCATAGAAGGTTTCGGGTTGATTGCATGAGCAATGGGGATGCAATCCAACACTGTCACTACCGCACTCAATATAACATTGATTTATGTAGGCGCTGAATATGTAGTTCTCGAGCTCACATTCACAGTCGGGGTAAATACCTGATTATAATAAAATACACAACGAGAACAGTAAATAGTTAAGTCATGTAATATCTAGATTCAATAGAGCAATTTGATTTTGTAATTTGGATGCACAAACCAGTTGAATTCGATGGACACTTCACACATTCTCCATAGCGAATGCCAAATAATCCACTGGAACACTCACAATTCGGGTATATACCCGTTGAGTCTTCTGGACATCGGCGACATAAGTTGTTCTCCGCATCATATTGATATGACTCGTTGCACGTACATGAAGGGTACGTGCCAGTGCTGAAAATAAATTTAAATTTATGATTCATGAAAGCATAATTTTTTTTCCTGGCAATTTCAATATAAGATGAGTTTCATCTGTGTTTTTCCTTGTAAATTCAGCCAACCATATTGTAAAGATTTTATTATATTTAAATTTCCATATTGGCAATAAAGGCAAAATATAAAGAGAAATAACATCGTGGGATTGCTTAAATCAACATAAGATAAGCACAAGTAAATCCTACCGAGCGAATAATCAATAATTATTTACAAGAAGCTGTACTCGTTACCTGTGAGATGGGCAGTCATAGCACGCGTTCTTTTCCCTATCATACACTAGATTTTCTTCACAAGTGCAATTTCCATAGGGTCCCTTTGAATTCCATGGACAACGTAAACAAAAATAACCATTAAATGATCCTCCATCGGTGCATTCACATTTTGGATACACTCCGTCAGTACCAAAAGGACACTGTTCACAGTAGTTTCCAAACACGTTATACTCTGTTGATGATGGCAGAAAAATCAATCAAATTTGAAATGGGTTTTGTGTTATAAAATACTTCGATATTTACAAACCTGCTCCATTGTCACAAACACAGTTTGGAGTGCTACCGGAACTGCCTTCCACACAAAATTCACATTTATTTCTTAGATTATTATACACTGCATTCTCATCGCTGCACTCACAATTCGGATATACACCGGTTGAATTGCCTTGACATTTAGTGCATACATTCTGATATCGATTGTATACACCAACTTTAGCACAGCTACAATCTGGATAAATTCCATGGTCACTATCTTCCGGACATCTGAGACATTTGAATGAGGCTGCAGTCAAAAGAAAATAAAACTAAACTAATAAATTGAAGTAATCAGAAGTGAATAAGATATGATAAACTCGGTGTTAGCCACGACAATTGATGAAGATTTTGATAAAATTCGTCCATGTTTCATCACCAGACACTATTTAGATTACAAGAATGGTATGATTTAACTTTCAATCGGTGACCTACTTTTATCGAAGGTTGCCGACTTATCATCACAATCACACGTAGGCCAGTAGCCCATGCTGTTTTCAGGACAAGCTTGGAAGCAGTCGTTTATATAAGCACTGTATCCGGAATTCTTTTCGGTGCAGGTGCAGTTGGGATAAGATGGCTGGGCAATGCTAGCCGTTGGACATTCTGGACTGGGGCATGTATTTGTTGTGTTATCGTATGCTGGTCCATACCTACAAATGCAAAACGGTGGATAACCTTCGCTAATTGTAGGACACGAAAATTCTGCACACGATACATATGCAAACAATTGGCACAAAAAATAAGGCACAAATTCAATTTTCATCTAGAAGTAAATAAATTTTGGGTCAGGATGCGCTGTTGCAAATTTTTCTGACAACAAATTTACCATGGCAGAGAAGCTAAAGTAAACAAAGGATTTGAGGTAAAGACAAAAACAAACTAAAATGATGCGATCAAACTGGAGAAAGAGAAGCATCAAAATACGAGTCTTGAAACCGGTTATTGAGAAAAAGAATGTAATTAACATTCAATTTACGAGTTACCACAACGGTGGACAATTAAATAAACTTAACTGGTTCGAGCATCAATTCAACAATTTATTATATTTATTTCTCAAGGTCACACATGAACCGTGATCAAAGTTACTTGCGAAAAGCGAACATCGCAAAAACTAATGTCATCAAAATTCTCAGAGTTCAATAGAAAAAAATTTAATAACGGAGTTTCATTCTTAATCACACCTTTTTTTGACAAGACAGGTTATAATAATCGACAATTTGTTGCATTGATCGAATTGTAAAATAAAATCTTTATTTCTTTTTTTTAGTAAAATGAACAATTTCACAACAAACGGAAAAAAATGATGTACATATTAAAATTTAACGTGCAGCCTGCGATTCAGGGATTTGTTATTTTGCTTCTTCTTTCTTTTCATAGAATATAAATTCTTCAATTTGTTTAAAAATGACTGTTGTTAAAATGCACCATCTAAGATTTTAAGCTTAAAATATTCCTTCTCTTCTTATTTTTTTTCTTCTAAAAAACAACTTGAACTTTAACGAAATTAACATGGAAAATTCGTATGTTTGTAGAGCTGCTAAAATATGTGTTCAACTAACTTTTTTTTAACTTCATTAGGCATTATCAAATCGATTAAATGAATATATGCACCATAAAATATATATGAATGTGTTTAAATCTTCAATCGAAGAAATATGTGTGTGAATTTAAGCACTCAAATGCTTTTGAATTGCTGAGGGAATGGTTTCTTTCGTCTTGGATTGAGTGCATCGACCGAGCAACTCTTCGCATGACCGTGTGCCCTCCTGTATTTCCTTCGCCTTCTTGAGCAAATCGTAGTTGATGCGATCAGAAACAACGGAATCCTTCCTGTTATTCCAGAAATAGAACAAGATTGTATTGAAAATTGTAAATAAATCGAAGAAAATTTCCTCTTCGGCAGAATTGAACAGTTTCAAACTTACTTGTATTCTGGATGGTTGGTAACTTCTTGTCGAATCCATGATGCTGTGGTCAGCAGATCGCCAGCAGCTCGTCGTTGAATTAAACGAATGTATCGTTGTATAGTACAGTGTGTGTCTGCGTCCACATCCATCGATGACAAATAACTGTTAATTAATGGAATTAAGCCGGGGAACGATGATCCGTTTCCGTTGATGATTTGATCGATAGTCATAAGTTCGTATTCGTCATTGATTGACGTTTCACCATTTTGGTTAATCGATTCATTGTGATTATTTACACCTTTGCTATTGATATTCTTTCGAAACCAAAATCGTTCGTCGCGGCAAGCGTTGCGTTTTTGTGCTTTTTTCATGTTCTCATCCACTTTGCTGATTGGAATCAAAAAGTTCAAGTGATAAGAAAGGATAACACGTGTCAACAGGACGACGAAACAAACGATGCCAGCATTTTCAAAATCGGTGAGTTGAGCTTCGCACGGCCGGAATTCTACGCGCCATCCTATCTTTGAATTCATTGGGGGCGGTTTAAATCTGTAGCGTTGCGGATAGTTACACACGCGTGACCGCGAAAAAATTATATTAAAAAAATATGCGAATTATATTAAATATGGCTAAATATATCTTATTTATTAATTTGTATACCTCATGGTCTGCCAATTGGTCGATTGGATATTTTCAAAGTGATCTGTATCTTCTTCGTCATTTTGATGGACTTTCTCACTGAACAAAGACACCGAATCACGAATAAACAAATGAGCAATGTGCTGAGCCAACAAGTGATCAATGTCACCGTCTCGTAATTTTTGATAAATCTTTTCATCATATACCAAAGGCACGTCATTGTATCTGAAATCCATTTTCAAAAGAATTGTTAATTCTGACGTCGCTTTTGGAGCCAAATTTCAATCTAAACTTACTTTTCTCCTTCCGGCGATAGATATGAATCAATTGAATCATATCTCGACTTTTGTATCCTGAATTGGTTTTCTTTGAGTGACACTTCGCCACGCTCCTCAGCCGTTCGACAGTCAACCGATGCACTTATAACATTCCAGCGACAATCCGAATCAACAAGGTAGCCACGAAAAACGGGCGAAGCTGCTGTCAGTGCCAACATAATCGGACACAATGGAGTCAATTGATCGTACAGTGTACGAGCTTCGATTATGTTACACGCCTGAAACATGGAGAAGAATCGATTTAATAAGAGAGTGTTTCAAACATAATCGAATTGAAATAGATTTATCCATACCTGGAATGTCAACTGCAAGCAACAACATCCCATTCCAAAGCCCATGGCATCCATGTGAACGGCATCTGGTTGATCGGCTGGTGCCCCCTCGACTGGAATTTCGGTGTTCTCATCCTTAAACACATTCAATCTGATGTTGACTTTTTCACCGCGTCGCTGTCGAATGTTCCTTGTCAATGTTTTGAAGCGTGGATGACCGGGGAAAATGGCTTCATCTGGAAAGTACAATGAACGAGCTGCGCTCTCTTCATTATCCGGTTGGGTTTTATAAATAGGCCAAGTAAAATCTGGTGCTCCTAAGCGTGGAAAATTCGTCAATGACATCACAACCTCGTCATCTTGCAATAGTTCCATTACTTCTTGTCGTCTGTATCTCATATTTGCTTCCACAACATTGAAATGCGCCATCAGACCACCGTACGGCTGACCAGGTGTTCCTTCAATCATATAGGCTCCATATTCTGGACGCCATAGTGACTTTACACCTGAAAATAAGAAACGATATTTTTAGCGTTCAATTTGAAGTCAGTATCCAAAACCTAAACATTGATAAGAATTTTATGTAAATGACCTTATCAATGGGAAAAATTTCATGAACGTCTATCTTACCGTTTGGATCGTCTGCTTCCCTTTGATTTAAAATAGTCAATAATTCTGGAGCGCGTAGGGACACACGAGCGACCTTGTTCTTATCATCAAATTTGACCAAAATGTATTCCACCTGAAAGCAAAAAAAAAGTTGATAATGTATGAATATTTTGTATTCAATTTAATTCTATAAATCATGCAACAAACGAAACTCTTTCATGATTCATTCAAGCCATAACAATTGAACGATGGCCATAATAAAAGTCCAATTGCTTTTCTATCATGCATAAATGAATGTACATGTACCTCGTCACCCCATTTCAAAATGTCACCGGTACGGTCCTTGAGCCGGCGATAAAGGTTAATGAATTGCTCGATGCCGTGCTTACGAACATGTTTCGATAATTTTTTCGTTTCTTCCCATGTCAATGGACTTCCTTCTGACAGCAGACCCATGTTGTAGCTTCAGTTCTTGTTTAATCCACACGTAAAATCCAATTCAAATCTATAAAATCAAATAAAAAGCATGTAATAACAGACAAAAAAAAACTCACATTCAATCGTTCTAATTGTATCAAATAAAATGGAATGAAAACCGAAAGAAGTAATATGAAGTGTCAAATTTTCCTTTTTTTAACGCATTTAATGGAACCGAAAATTGTGATAAAAGTGTGAGTAATTCAATCTATTCTAATTTTACGTTATCGATGTGAATTTTTTTCAACTGTTTTTTTTTATTCACGAAGAAATGTGGACTTGTGGAGTAAACGTAATTTAACACAATGTTATAAAGCCTCACATCGTCGTTTCCCAATGAGCGAAGAATGCAAGTGTCGGCAAGTGTACTTATTATCGCAAAGAAGAGCGTTTTTTTTTTCAACAAATAAACGTTTTATCGTTGCAAATGTCTACAAAAGAGTGTGTTTGGCATGCGATTTTTCCGTGTGTTGAAACCAAGACAGATGATAAAAAAACGGATTATCAGCTGTCTGTTACGCGTTTCATATAACTGAACTGTATTTACAGTTCAATTAAAAATGATGTCATACAATTTGACTGAGTGCTTTATATGATAATTCCGGATGTATACACATCTGATATCAGTCACATGGTGGGTAGAAAAATTATTCTCCAAATCAAATAATAATGCGAACCAATTTGTTTTTCGGAACATCATCGGTACGAACGGCACCCCAATGACTCATGCGTTTTTATATGAGACCGATTTGAACAAAAGTTCAAAAAAAAAGAGAGGAGGGGAGAAAAACAGTTGTTGTGAGAATGAAAAAAAGAACAATCGGTTTCGTTTCAGTCAACTGAACACAATCTGTTGTGACACACACACATTGGTACACCATTTATTTTGCGAATAGCTGACTCGTTCTGTATGCAAATCTACACTGCGAAATGCAAATCACTGAGATGGAATATGTAATCTGATTAGTTATTATAATTTGCGTTGTTAACAAATCGGATATTTGAGTCTTTTTTGCAAACGGAATGTAATTCAAACCGACCAAAGAGATTCATTGAAATCGAAGAGTAAAAATTTGACATCAGCATTTAATGAAATACAATGTATGTAATTGGTGTCGGCATTTATAAAACGGTAACCGACTGCCCTTGATATATTGATCGATAAACAAATTCACGGACACTTTTTTCTCTTCGCTTCTCTAAAACACATAGCGATTTCACTTATTCACCGATGTATTTGCTCAAGCATGTACGGCTATTCAGAAATAGTCAAAACACACATTACAGCAATGACATCTTTTGGTGTGGAGAGATTTTCGAACCGAATTGAAGGCTCAGAAGAATTTCTCACGAAATAACATGTAAATGTGGAGAAAAGAAAGAGAACTAAATTAACTTCATTTAAAAAACTAGAGATGGCGCATATTAGTTCTTTAAGCAAAAAAAAAGTCTACAATCCCATACAAGTACTATACAGTTGTATTTGCTGTATGACAAACAAAAAATTCGAAGCGCGGAAAACGAAAAACTTAAAATTGTTCACCGTTCAAAAGTGTTTACATGCATGAGATATCGATGAGTGTTGACCTTGATGAGTGTTGCTCGACTCGTTTTTCAATTGTTGACCATTTGAAAAAAATAAACCATTTATTGATTACTCTATTTGTTCATGAGAAAAAATGACTTGCGACCAATTTAAAATAAACACAGTGTTTTAAAACATCCGAAATGAAAATTGATAAGCGCTAAAATTTATCCAATTATTTACAAAACATATCGTTCGAATCATTAAAATCGCGTCAATTTGCTTAAATTGAGAAACATTCTTACATCAATTGCGCAAAATGGTTAATAAACTATACGATTTTACTGTGAACAGATAAATGCAATTATTCATAAGTTTGCATTCTGTATATTAAACAAATCATAAACATGACATAAACTGAATGTTCACGAGAAAACACTGACGAATTACGAATTTGGCTCGCAGTACCAGCGAAACCAACATTTTTCGGCGAAAAATAGAAACAAATAAACAATGTCATTTAATTAGCATTATTCGTAATTGAAGTTTTATTCACATCCACTTAAAAAAAACGATGATTATGCAATGTAATTCGCATAATCGCGCCACTGAATCAATTGAAGTTGAATATGGTCGAGTGGTAAGCGTACAAGAAATTCAGTGTTTCGGTTCAGAATATGTGTGAATCGGTCAGTAAAAATTTAACGTTAAGCAAATACACAACATGCTCACACTAATCACTCTAATTTTAGCAGAAAACCACACATTGTATCAATCACTCACTTAATGTTTGTATCGAAAAGTTCCACAAAAACTAGTGACTAAAGTGAAATAGTTGGAATTTCCAAATGAGTGCGACACAGATAGAAGAAAAAATTCAAAGCTCGTATCACGATGACATCAACAAAATTCAGATAAGAAATTGTTTTTTTCCTGAAAACGACTGTGCTTTGATATAATTGTGCAAAAGAGACGGGAATATGATGAATGTGTACAGTCAAATATGAAAATGACACCGTTGAAAAATCATTTCAACATCAGATGTAATTCGTTTTCTACATATTCGAAGGGCAAAAAAATCAATGTCACAATAACATCACACGGAAAATTGCGGTGCCACAACAGAAATTGTGTGTCTGTCAAAAAAACAAATCAAAAGACGATTTTTTAAAAGAGCAACTATTGATTTTCAATTCTAACCTCATAGAATCTTAAAGCAAATATATTTTTATGCACACACCACAAATTATTCGATTCACGACTCGTTCTCTTTTTCACGTATATTCGCCGCGACACTTTCAACCAGACTAGTTGGATGTTTTTGATGTTCGTAATTTTTATTTCAGCCTAGCACATGAGCTTCTTATTCGAATCACGAAAACGCACATTGAATTCACCGTAAAAAAGCGAACGAGCGTGACGGTGGCGAAGACGTTTCTCAATGCATGTGTTCTGTCAAATTTACGATGGCTTTTGAAGCTGTCACATTTTCCAATGAAACCAAAACGTTCGGCTGTTCGACAGTTTCATACACAGCGAAATCGTATTTAGCAAAAATTATAGATTGTTTTTGAATTTAAAAGTGAAATCCAATTCCAATTGCAATATCATTATTTCGTCTCTATATTAGAATGAACAATCTAGAAAAAAGTTTGTTAAATCGTAATTGCTCACTATGTGAGCAGTTTCTTTTTGTTGTGTCCATTCACAATAGTTTATCGAAGGTATTTGCGTTTCTCCGACACATTGCGACTTTGTACACATTTCAGCGCCATCTTTTGCATTGCACAACGAACTAATTCACATTTCGCGCTAAATTTCGGAATGTGTGCAAACCGTAAAACTGGCGTTATTTTCTTTTCGTTGTGCAATGCATATGCAAACATAACAAGTTAGTCGGAGTTTTTTTTTCTTCTGAAAAATGTCAATTGCCAACATCAAACGTTTAATCATATTCATTGAATTTCGTCACTTGCGCCAACACACAGTTGAAGGAAACGTAATGTTGAAAATCTCATGCCAAGTCAGCCAGCCAGCCTGACTAATCATGGTGTCCATATTCTAGTGCTATGTTGCGAATACATTTTCGATTAATTGACAGGGGTCAGTTAAACATTTGATCTGAATTCCATCGTTCAACTGTAATTGATTTAATTTAATAAGCGTGCGATTTTTTTCTCTCTCTGTTTATTTTCATCCGTTGTCGCTTAATTTAAAAGCAATCGGCGAAGTGAAAAAATCCTAGCGCACACCCAAATGATTGAAAAAAGAGATTGTTTTTTTAGCATGTTGAATTAATGTACAGCTTGTGTTCAATTTGCAATATTATTGGTAGAAATTTATCGTGAACTTTGTCTTCTCCCAAAAAATGAAGCATCCGATGATTTTTTTGTTCGTTTGTTGAAGTAAGTTGATTTCACAAGAATTTTTATTGAGATATCATTTCAACTTTATCATAAGTTACATTAACAATAATGTGCAGCAGGAAAGCCAGAGTAAAACACATCCAAAAGTTGTTATTTTGCATGATGCCGTTGTTTTTCCTCACTCGTCGCAACTCGTTGAAAAATAAAGCGCCACCAATTCAGGAATAGTTTATATTCAGCCGTATTCAGGCGTGTGGGTTATCCGTTGCGCGTGGTATATGTGATGTTTTGCTCAATGGCCGATCGAATGGTACACGCAATGACACAAGAATTTCCGTAAGCAAATACATGCTTTCGGTTGTTCATCTGTATACGACGATCTAACGCCAATAAAGCAGAACAAAATATGTGGTCTGTTGTTGTTGTCGCCGCCGCCGTTGTCGCGTTGCTGTTGTTGTTTTGTTTCGAGAAAAAAAAACATGATGTAATGATTCGCACACCGATTATGTCCGTATTGGAGGCCGCATGCGTCTATACGTCGAGATAGCATAGCCAACTGAGCTGAATTCGAATCGAGCCCATGCTGCTCTCACATACACACACACACACACACACACACACACACACACACACACACACACAC